GCAGAGCATATTACCGACATGTCCATGCTACACGTCGATCTCAACTGGGGAAAATGGAACTCGCATCTTGATTTCCGAAAGGAAGAGGACCGAGAAAAACTACGCGCCTTGGTTCGAGATGCTGATGTAGTGGTGCAGGGCTATCGGCCTGGTGTACTCGACAAATATGGGTTTTCCCCGGAAGGCTTACTGGATCTGACGAAAGATCGAGAGCGTGGTCTAATCGTTGTGCGGGAGAATTGCTATGGCTGGTATGGACCTTGGTCATATCGCAGCGGTTGGCAGCAAATTTCTGATGCTTGCTGCGGCGTGTCAATGGAGTTTGGACGAGCTATGGGCAGAGACGAGCCTGTCACACCTGTCTTCCCTAATAGCGATTTTTGCACGGGTACGTCTGGAGTCATCGGAGTGCTGAATGCACTACTTCGAAGAGGCGCTGAGGGAGGTTCCTACAAAGTCGATGTAAGTTTTTTCACTGTTCTTGTAGCATTGTTGATACCAACGTTTATAGGTCGCATTGAATTACTACTCTCAATGGCTAGTAAATAGCGTCGGCACCTATCCTAAAGACGTCTGGGAAGAAGTCTGGACACGTAACGGACATCAGGTATTCCGCCACTACCACAATATGCAGTATACGTTGCCGCACTACATGAAGATGTTGGCCGAGAACTCGGGATCCGTGCTCTTCAAACCAGACTTCTTCGAGGTTCGACACGCAGGTGCAATCGGAAAGGACGTGAAAGCTGTTAAGCCCATCATTCAATATCCACAGGGGAATGTAAAGCTCGGATACAACGTAGGAACGCGAGGAAACGGTGTAGACCAGCCGGTGTGGCCGAAGGATCTGATGACCGAGGTCGTGTCATAATGAGTCATCAGCTTTGGTCTATGAATAGCGTAGTATGACCAATCGCACAGCCATCTGTCTGTGGAAACAAAACCAATGAATTGTGTAGCATTTTAAGTAGATGGGTGGATATGAGGTGTAATCGACGCGAGGAATCTTGAGATGTCAACGCGAAGAAGACGCGCTAGGCGGACACGTCTACGCGTCTTCACGTGTATCCGTCTCGGGCGAAATCTCACTCGAAATCATCCGCTGCACAGATGGACAATGACGATACCCAAATCTTTGACGTCCAGATACGAGATCAAGAATACAACTGCATGAGTTAAAATTACACATCTCCACCACTGTAAAAAACTTGGAATGCTTCTCGACCAAACACTAAGCATCATTGACTCACATCCTACTCAACATCGCCTTGCCCGTTAAAGCCAATATTACTCAACCTTATAAATACTTTGCACAAGAGATTGTTTCAGGAACTTACAAAACAAATTGTCTTTATTCAACACAGTCATGGAGACCCTCATTCACAGCCAGCGATTAACCCTCCTCCGCCTAACAGACATCTCATCAATCTCCTCACCACACGTTCGTCTCTTCCATGAAAACTGGTCCAACCACGATGCCACAGGATGGAGTCTCCATGGACCCACGCACTCCTTGGAAGAAAGCTATGAATGGATGAAAGAACAACTAGCACCATCACCAGGAAACGATAGCATGTTCTACTCTGTGTTTGCAACATCCAACCCTTCGGCTTCGACTTTGGAAAGCAACGATGGTGAGGTTGGCGACGAAACTGGCTTAGGGGAGCACGTCGGCAGTGTAAGCCTTCGTCTTCAGCCCAGCGGTCCCTCCATCCCTCTTCCGCCTCCATCCTCGGAACACCCACACTTATCAACAGAGAGCATGAGGGCATTAGGATACGCCTTCTTTCCCTCAGCACGAGGCAAGGGATATGCGACGGAAGCGGGTCACGCGCTGTTGAACGCTTATGCTGCTTTTGTGTCTTCGTCGTCGGCAACACAAAACAACAGCCAAGGAGGACATTGGATAGAGAAAGCATATGTTGAAGCAGCAGTAGACGAGGACAATCCCGGTAGCATCAAAGTATTGGAGAAACTCGGATTTAAGAAGCTGGGCTGGAAGCATGAGGAGGAGAAGGTGTTTCTGAATGGAGCATGGAGGGGACCTGGGTACTGGGTGTATGGCCTGTTTGTTTGAGTATAAAGGACTTTACACCTGGGAAAAAGGAAGACATATAGGCATAGGGAGAAAAGTATGCAGACGAAGAATATACGATACTTCATGTATTCCATCTTTGCGAAAAAAGAACTTAGTTATATTCTACAGCTACCTCACCACTCAGCGACCTCGCCTTGCTTAGGCAACGTCGCACGAACAACCTTGTCACAGTTGAGCAAGCAAAGAGGGTCGAAAGCCTTCTTGAGCTGCCTCATCGCGTCAACGGTACTTTGGCCTACTTCATGTGGCAGGTAGTCTCTCTTGACAAGACCAACGCCGTGCTCCCCTGTGGCAGTGCCTTCGAGTTCGATGGCACGCTTGACCATTTCGTGGACAAGGTGAGACGCCTTTTCGTGGTCGCGGTTGCGATTGTACAGGATGATGGCTGTAATGCATGTGAGCAAAGTCTGCAGGAAGAAGGTAAAGATAGAATGAGCTTACAGTGGAAGTTTCCGTCTCCAACGTGTCCTACAATACTAGCTAGTAGGCCACTCTGCCGGATCTGTTCTTTAGTCTCTTCGATGATTTGAGGGAGCTTAGATATTGGCACGGCAACATCTGTGGTCCAAACTCCCATCTCGGGATCACCTTCGCTCTTGGCCATGACACTCCATAGTGCCTCCTTGCGCGCTTGCCACAGGTCTTCTTTCTCTTGTTCAGATTTGGCAAATTCGAAGCTGACAGAGCCGGACTTCTTGGCCATACCTTGCACTTGGCTGACCTGTTCTTTAACCGAACTTTGAGTACCGGCAAACTTGAAGAAGAGCGTTGGTGCATTCTTCCATGTCTTGGAGGTTTGCCCTGCGTCGTTGATGCACTGCATCTGAACATCGTCGAGGATCTCGATAGCGGCGATAGGTACCCCCGCACCAACGACCTTGAAGACGCAATCCGCTGCTGCACGGACAGATGGGAAGGCGCATACGGCTACACTGGTGTGTTGTGGTTTTACAGTGACCTTGAGTGTAGCTTCTGTGACGAGGCCCAATGTGCCCTCGCTGCCTATAAACATACGCGTGAGGTCGTATCCAGCAGAAGACTTTCGTGGCCGTTGTCGAGTCTTGATGACAGTTCCATCAGCCAGGACTACGGTGAGCGATATCACCCAATCCTTCATTGTGCCATAGCGATACGCATTTGTGCCAGAGCATCCTGTTCCGACCATGCCGCCGATCATTGCGCCTGGACCTGGGTCGGGAGGGAAGAACAAGCCTTCCTTCGCAAGCTCCTCGTTTAGAAGTTCCCAGCCCACTGCAGGTTGGACGACAACGTCCAAATCGTCCTTGTGTAGTTTCACGATCTTGTCCATGCGGCTGAAGTCGATGCATATACCACCCCTTGTTGCGGCAAAGTGGCCCTCCAAACTTGTGCCTCCGCTATATGGAGTGACTGGAATCTTGCGCTCGTGGCAGACCTTCATGATGGCGCTGACTTCTTCGGTACTGCCAGGCTTCACGATACAGAACGGCACGTCGCCAGGTTGAGAAGGATGCGAAGACCACGAGGATCCGCTGTGCGACTCTAGATCATTCTTGTCTAGTGTGATGTTCTCTCTGCCGACAATGTCACGCAAATCTGTCCAGGCTGCTTCCATGTTCGCTTCGGAGATGTTGTGCTTGGGAGGATTGAAGGTCTCGAGCGGCGCGGTCGAGCTCGTGTCTGGCTTTGGGGGGATCATCTGGCCGTAGTAGTAGCCTATGCAGCCTGTGAGAAAACATGCTAATCAATCATTAGTATGCGCCATGTTTGAGATGTTTGGATTCCAGTACCGAATACGGTCGCAAAGAATTGTCCTCTTGCCGTTCTTTGCTGCAGCGACTGAATCTGGATCTGCTCTGCCTTCTCTTTCTGTACACGCTCGTAGATACTCTCATTCAGTTGGAGGTAGAATGGCTTCTCGTCGTCCTTGCCCATCCTGTTCTTTTCACTCGTCCATCGCCTCTGCGTTATTCTTCCCACTCCCGCACCAACTCCGCATTCCCGCCATAGTGCCCCTCCTCTGGCGGTCCGTAGGGCGAATGAGCCTCGCGGTAGGCTTCGTAAAGGCATTGCGACTATGACTGGCGTTCGCTCATGTCGTAGTCGGCGAGGCGACAACTGCGGGGAAAGCTTTGCATGTGAGCTGAACGATGATGATGCGCGGGTAAATCCCGGACTTAAGACGCTGCCAAGAATTGTATATGCACGTCACAACCAGTAATGGGAAATCCATGTGTTGTGGAGAATCGTTCATGCTTACTTTTCCGGAATCAGAAATTACGCATGGAAACGTGATACTCGCGAATATCACGACATTGCGGAACAGATGTGAAACATCGCGTTACGGTCCGTCAGCTTATCAGAGCACAATGTATCGCACGACAACGGCAAGTGAAATCAATTATGGTCAATCATGATTTGTTCAAATATACTGCAATTGCGAGGCTCAATGGCCGAAGCCAGAGCGTTATACCAAAGACAACCCCAGCTCCCAACCAAAGGAACCCAAAATACCGCCACGCGGTGTCGGTCTTGGGGAAACTATCCAACGCCTGTCAACTGAGTGATAAAGATGGACCAAAAAAAGAGCGATAACCAAAGCAGATCTCTATCAATGCGCCCAAAGGTAAGAGCCGTGTCCCTAGAGATGCTCGCAGGATATACAGCATAAGCATGGGAGAAGCATGTATCATGAAAAAGGCCGTTATCCCAAACCGAACGCCATGCTAAAAACAAGTAAAGAATATGCAAGAATGAATCGGGTATAAGGATAAGATGCGAAACCAATCTGCTCAAGTGCCGGGTCAAGTGAGAGGGGTATGTAGAGCATCGAGGGGTAGAAAGACGGTGGCGTGGCACCTCAGCCGACCGCTTACGCGTCGAGGTTGTATGCAACTACTACTCATGTGGCGGTGCATGTAACCTACTTCCCCGACATGCGCAGCAGTCGAGTCTTGAGCCAGATGACGAATCGTTGCCATGTGCCCTTTGCGGCTCGGCTCTTTGTAACCTTGGGTGTGGCGGAGAAGGCGGCTGCTTTCTCGGGGTCGACCGTAGTCACAAGCTTCGGCAGCGAGTTGGAGTGAGCCTCGCGATGGTCTGAGTACTGGCGCCCACCCACTGAAGGGCGGCCTCCCACCGAGGGCCGTGGCGTCTTCTCATAATCAGTAGATACAGTGCGCGTACGGTTTATCTCAGTCCGATCGAGCGTTTCTGACTTGCGACGGTGGTGATCTTCTTTCTTCTGTTGTTTCTTGAAGTCGCGCTCCTGTTGCTTGTGCGCCTCTTTCTCGTACTTCCGCTCTTTGGCTCGCTGTTCCTCTTCGAACTTCTGTCGCGCAGCACGGATGGACGCAGCTCTCGAGGCAGGGTCAACGGGGGAGTCGCGTCCGCCGCGGATGAAGCGGTATGTCTGGTCAAACGAGGTGCGCGAGCTGGGTGAAGTCGTGTCAATGGATTTGAGCGTATCACCCCGCGCGCGAGGTACTCCGACTGGGGAAGTGAGCGAGACGGATGACTGGGAGTAGCTGCCAGCAAGGCGGGTGGATGAATTGTTGGTGTGGATGCGTAGGGATGTTCCCTGTGCCGAGGAGATGGAACCGGATCTGCGTCCTGGTTCGTACGCGTTCTGTCTCAGGCGGAACTCATCGTCGGACATGATATCATCACCCTCGTGGTCGCTTCCCAGGACTGAGGGCGGTGACGAGTGGGCTATTGGCGGTGTGTAGGGCTGCGGAGTCTGGCGAATGGCCGGCAGGGGTGTCGGCCGCTGCAGCCCAGAGGAAGAGGAAAACTGCGACGTGTTGGACGTTGAGCGGTTGTGTCTGTGGCGGCCGTTGACTGGGGAAAAAGTAACGTCGGATATGGACCGTGAGTAGGCGCCATATTCTGAAATGCCCAGACCGGAGAGGTCGTTCTCGGCCGCAGGTCGTGATAGATCGAGCCCACTGCTCTCCTTGGACGAGAGCTTGCGCAGGTAGGGCTTGATCTTGAGCTGGTGGGAGGAAGTCGTGGACGGCATGGGGCGTTGTGTCTCTATCCAAGACTCTTCGAAGACCTTGGGTGTTTCCGAACGATTAAAGGTAAAGGCGTCGTAGTCAGCAACGGGGCTCAGAGGGCGCGGGCTCGTAGCAGCTGAGGCGGAGTATCCTCGTTTGTGAAGACGCGCATGCCGGGTCGACATGTTGGAAGGTTGCTCGCGCGTGTTATCGGCGCATGTCAGAGTAGGTAGGCCAGGAGTGATCAGCGCTCGGAGGATGGTTCAAGTTACACGCTGGAGCATCACCAAGCCAACGTGAACGTCAGGACTCTTCCGATGGTTCCGCGGACGTCAAGCGTTCCCAACAGATGGTGACGAAACCACTGTGTCAAGTCTTGGGGAGAGCGGGCCGCTGTTGATGATCCGGGGCAGTTCCAGGATTGACGACGGCCGATGGCGTATTCACCAGAGAAAACGGCGGTTACTTAGCCGGAAGACGCTTCCTTGGTTGCTGGGAATGCTGCGAACGCGAACGCTCAGTCCAACTGGCGGCGGCCTCGGCTCTAAGCGCCTAAACGGTTAGCCGGCGATGAGTGATGGATTACGTTGTCTGGAGTGATGGGCAGAGCATCACCACTCGAGACGGACGCCCGCGGCGATTGGGGAGGCGAGTGCTTATATGCGCTGCCGGGCCCGTCTTGTCGCGTGGGTGTGTGGAGGTACTTGGGTAGGAGAGGAGCCCGGCTGGAGCGGAGTCGCCGTCTGCTTGGATCGAGATAACAAGACGACTGGCTGGGAGAGCCTCACCGCTCGTGAGCCACGGAACAGAGTGCTACCGTGCCGTCCGACGAGATATGCCTCATGGCTGCTCGCACCGCAAAATGCTCGATCTCTCTCCTCTTTCGCCCCGCCTGGATGCTTGGTCGCGCAGCAACTCCACGCAATCTAGTGGCACAGCAGCGTCGGAACGCGCAGCAGCTGGGCGGCGGGCTCGATCATGAGAGGTCACGAGCAGAGCTGCGGCTCATCACTGCAAACGTGGGCCGTACGCGCCAATGCAGCAAGCTGACCTAGATTCCTACAGCCGACTCGCGATTCGTATGTCTCAAACCGTGTACGCCTCAGCCATACTAGGTGCTCTGTCCATGGACAAGTTGGCTGTCTTCTCACGAGAGATACTCCGCTTACCCCGCCATCACCCAGACCTGGTCCTAGTCTAAGCCACCCAATATTCAAGGCTGTTATCTCTCACCTTAGTGCAAACACCGCATGACGACGAGGCCTGGAGGGGGCCTGGCCTGGGAATGCCTTGTCGTGGTACCTCACGTGCGCGCTATTTCACCACGGCCCGGATGAAACATCCATGGATGAAACACGTCTACCCCACACTCTGGTCCAACCATGTTCCTGTTGATCTTCCTCGAGCACGTGTCTGCGATCCCGACAAAGTAGTATGACATGTTCATTTGAGTATTGGGGACTGAGCCATCTGCTTAGTGCTGCACAGTCAGCCCTGCAGCATCCACACTTGAGTTATGACGCCAATCACGCCAGAAGCCGGTTTCTGTCTTCTGACTGACCTCTCGCTGTACATGGCGTTGAGAAGACGCCTCTGAAGGGCGTATTGACCATAGAAGAATCCTGTGTCCCACCTTTGTGTTTTGCCTCTCTACAAAGAGTTCCATGATCACCTTTGTTGGCTACTTTGTCATGGTATCCTACGACGCGTCGCACTGACATCTACGGGCTATCCTGTTACTACTACTACTACAGCTTTCCTAATGATGGGCAGCATGACGGACCTGGTCCCAGCTTCTGCCAAGGACCAATACATTGTCTATTCAACAGGAGACAGTAACATCGGAACCAGTTTAGGCTCATCGAAAATTTTGTATCTCAAATTGCTGCATGTCGTAATCTGGCTTTACCAATTAGTGCAGCAGGCATGTGCAAGTATGTAACTATCTGGCAGTATCTGTAGTTGTGAAATTGGAGGCGAGGCCAAAAGTAAATCGGTGTATTGCATTACATGCGCGCACTTTACTGCTTCGTCTACGCGCATAGTAGTTTGCTCCATGCTCAGTGAGAAAGTCGCGTTGCTGGGGCATGACTAAGGCCCACCCTGACGTCGAGCACGGGTCGCAACTTCCCGAACATCAAAAACATCCTACCTCAGAACCATCTCCATCTCCCACGCGCGTCCCATGGAGTTATAGCCCGACACGCCATCATCCGACCGCATCCATCACTTCTCGACCCCATAAGTGATCGCGACCATGTCGTCCAACAAACGGGGAAACATCTTTGGCCAGGGAAAGCCTGAGCGCCCCTACGAAGAGCGCGAAGATGTCGCGGATGTGCCCCAGAAGGCAACAGCAGCACAGTTAGCATCCCGCAAGTAAGTTGTCCTTGACGAGTCCTCACTTTGGCTTCACGCCACTTCCGTTTCGCGATGGTCTTCTTTGACGGTCGCGTGCTAACTCTTTGTTTCCAGAATCAAGACCGCGAAAGCCCGTCGACCAGCAGGCGCTTCCTCCGTAAGTACCCAAAACAACACAACACGCTCTCCACCGCCCCATCAACCGCTGTGCCAACATGCCGGCAGACCGCTACACCCGCAAAGGGCGATACGAGATGCGTCGTAAGGAGGAGGCTTTGGCTAACGTACGCGCTCAGGGTCTCTCACAGAGCGCAAACTTTGGCGCACCACAACAGAACGCCTTCAGCTTCGGTGCCTCCGCGCCCGCCCCCGCGAACAACGGCGCGAACGGCTTCGGCAGCAACAATGCTTTCGGCGGCGGCGCGACTAATAGCTTCCCACCCGCGCAGCCCGCTGCCCCTAGCAACACTTTTTCAAGCTCATCCTTCCCGGCTTTTGGAGGTAGCAACCAGGGCACAGGCTTCAATCCCACACCACCATCGTCTGCGGGCTTCAACTTCACAGCTGGAGGTGCAAACCCGTTTGCGAACGCAAACTCGGCACCTGCGACCAACGGAAACACGCCTGCGCCAGCCTTCGGAGGATCGTCTATATTTGGTAACGATGCTTCAACACAGGGGAATCCCTTTGGTGGCCTAGGCCAGAACAGCACCACGAGCTCGGCGCCCTCGGGCGGCATGTTCGGTACTACCAGCTCAACTCCCTCCGGAGGAATGTTTGGAACATCCAGCGCTGCGCCGTCAGGAAGTATGTTCGGTACATCGAGTGCTGCACCAACAGGAGGCATGTTCGGGGCATCAAGCGCCGCACCTTCAGGCGGTATGTTTGGGACGTCAAGTGCTGCGCCCTCTGGTGGTATGTTTGGAACCTCGAGTGCTGCCCCCAGTGGCATGTTTGGCACTACGAGCGGCGCCCCGAACGCTACGAGCACTCCCGCTCCTGCATCTACGCCCTTCACATTTGGCGCCTCCACTACGTCAGCCTCGAACACGGCAAGCACGCCAGCCACGAGCGGCCTGTTCAGCGGGTTTGGCAACTCAGCACAACCAGCGGCGTCACAAACAAGCACGTTCACGTTCGGTGCTAATGCGCAGAAGGAAGAGGCGCCCAAACAGTCGCCTGCGCCCGCAAACAACATCTTTGGTGGCTTCGGTTCCAACGCACAGAAGAGCGAGAGCAACTCAGAGACTCCGAAGCAAAGCAATCCTTTCGGGGGTCTGGGTACAAGCGCGCAAGGCACGCCAAATGCTACCGCGACCGCTCCGGCATCGAATCTGTTCAACTTCAGCGCAACTGCACAGAAGTCTGACAGCGCAACATCGACTGCACCCTCGACCAACCTTTTCGGAACCACAAGCTCTGCCCCTAGCAATCCGTTTGCGAATCTCCCAACAACAGAAAACAAATCCTCCGCTGAAACAGCAGGTACACCATCGAACTTGTTCGGAAGCCTTAAGAAACCTGAGGAGTCTCGCAGTACAGCATCGACGGATGCGCCCAAACCAAACCCATTCGCTGCACTTCCAAAGCCGGACGACACGCCTGCTGCAACAGGTAGCAATTCCGGATTTAGCCTATTTGGTGCGAACAAGGATAGTGGTGCAGCAACAGTGAAAGCTCCCGAAGCACCAAAGTCCAGCTTGTTCCAGCCATTCAGCACACCGCAGCCGGCAAAGACGACCGACGTGGAGAAATCACAGGGCGGAATGTTCACTGCAGCTCAACCCAAGACTAGCTCTGGTCTCTTCTCTCAGACATTTCAACCCGAGAACAACAACTCGAGCAACTTGTTCAAGAAGCCACAACCAACTTCAGAAGCGCCCAAGGCCACGCCCACCCAATCCACCGAGGCTTCCAACCCTTTCGCCTCTTTGTCCAAGCCTTCCACCGATCGCCCCAACTTGTTCAGCGCTTCAAAGGAACTTCCGCAACCCTCTCCCGCGCCCGCCCTGTCAAATCTCAACGGAGATTCACAAGCACTCGAGATGCCCAAGGTCCCCAAGGTGCACGTTCCGAAGGAGTGGGCTGTTCCAGGTGCCATTCGTGCGCAAAGCAGCGATGGCCTACTGAAGCAAATATCTGATTTGACCGCCCAACTTCAGGTGTTGAACGACAAGTACCGACAGCAGCTAAGCAGCCTTCCCCTCACAGCGGATTGGTCGAGTGTGTCTCTCTGGCACTACCAACATGCCGCGGATATAAAGAAGAAGATTGATAACGCGAAGAAGCAACGCGCAGCTGCACGAGGCATCACTGGCAACGAATCGAGCCTGTCTACGAAGCGCAAGGTCAGCGATGAGAGCCCCGAAGTCCGTCGTGACCCATCTCCCTCCAAGCGAGCTCGCGCAACCGAAGCGCCTTCCAGTCCAACTCCTCAGTTGTCGGGTTCTACGCCAAAGCTCAGTGCGCCAGCAACAGCAACATCGAACATGTTTGCCAAGGCAATCGGTAACAAGCCTTCTACACCTGCGGCAACATCATCGACAAGTCTCTTTGCGCCAAAGACGGCCGAGAAGCCCGCTACGGAACCCTCAAAACCAGCTGCACCAACTACAGGATTCGTCTTCACACCGTCAGCGCCGACTGCTAACGGTGCAGAGACCTCCGGCTTCAAGCCAAGCTTTGGTGGCAGCTCCACAGGTACCTCAGCCTCTACTGGATTCAAGCCAAACTTCGGTGGTAGTTCGACCAGTACATCGGCTTCTGCTGGGTTCAAGCCAAACTTTGGTAGTGCTCCAACGGGTGGCTTCATGGCCCAGTTCACCAAGACCGCAAAGACTTACGAGGAGCTGGCCGCAGAACGCAAGAAGAAGGCTATGGATGAGGACTACGATTCCGATGATGAAACCAAGGAGGAATGGTCTGCTAGGTACGACAAGGCTGAGGCTGAGCGCCTCGCTAAGGAGAAGGAGATTGCCGCCTCAACTAAATTTGTCCTGCCTGGTTCTGAACCAGCTGGTAGCACGTCGCCGAAAGACAATCCGTTTTCTGGTCTTTTGAAGCCTAAGAGCGATGCACCTGCTCCAAAAGCTGCCAGTCCCGCGCCATCTACAGGTAGTCAATCAGTTTTCGATGCTTCCGCCTCGCAAACGTCATCGCCTAACATTTTCGGCCATCTGTCAGGAGCATCATCCAACAACCAAGAAGAGTCTGACGAAGATGATGCCGAACAGCAAGACACTGTTGGCTCAGCAGATCCAGCTACGCCTACACAACGCGCATTTGGCGAGTCGGAGACAGAGTCTGAAGACACCCAGAAGCAGGATACAGCTCCCAAGGGCAGTTTACTCTCAAGGATAACCAGAGATAATGACTCCGAATCAGAGAAGGAGAATAGTGGCGCCTGTTCCATGTTCGGCCAAACCAACGGTACTACCACTCCGGCCAACAAGCCCTTCCAGTTCTTTGACTTTGGTGCTGCATCCAAGACAGCGCCACCAAAGTCCGATACGTTTGCTGGCGATCAGACCTTCAAGGTCGGTACTCCGATCAAGTTTGGCGGAGCTCCCGCTACTGAGAAGAAGGACGGTCCAAAATTCAACTTCCAGCCTGCTACACCTGCAGCGGGCGAGTTCTCAACCACGCCAGCGAAGCCACCACTTGCCTCGATTTTCAACTTCGCTCCGTCAACAGGTGGATCGTCCCTTTTTGCACCGTCAGGTGGCAACTCTGTGACCTCGTCTGTGTTTTCTTCGCGCGCTGTCACGCCTCTATCTGACGCTGGTGAGACTACTGCAGCATCTGCAGCAGAGGACGACGAAGAAGGTGGCAAGCAAGAACAGATTGACTTGACCAAGTTGACTGAAGACGAGCTTGAAACTTACGACATTATCTTCCATACCGAAGTCGTACTCGCCAAGCACCAAGAGGGAGAGAAGGGTTGGACGAACATTGCCAAGGGCCCTTTTTGGATTCTCAAGGACAAGCAAACGGGCAAGTGCTCTGTTCGAGTCCGTATCCCGAGCGGCGCCACACCGCTCAATTACCAGATTCTACCCGCGCTGCCCGCCACTGTCACCGGTGGTAGCAAGAAGATGGTCATGGCGACCAAGCCCGCCAAGGAAGGCGGCTTGCAGTCCGTTCTTTATGCTGTCAAGACGCCTGAAATTGCACAAGAATTGGCAGCGAAGTACACGGAATCGGTTCCTAAATCACAGTAGACGACATTTTCTACTTTGACCTCTATACACACTGTATGGATCGCGGGTTGAGTGTGTATTTATTCGTTTTCACTCACCGGTTTCCTCACCTCCTTGCATTAGTTTGTTTGCCTACCCTGCCCCTGTTTTTACCTCCAAACACACATGTGTATGTTTTTCAACCAAGATTGGCGAAAATGTTTTTTGTATCTTTCCCCAGCGACTACTTTCTTCTTCGCCCTTTTCTTGGGGATGTTGGAACATCATCCAGATAGATGAGCACTGCATAACAACGGCGTTGGTGGCATGGACCCCATATTGATTTGTTTCTTGCAAAGCGACGACGGATGGAAAATGGGATCTTGAACCTTCATGTAGTATACTATGAGCTTTGTTTCTTTAATATGCATTGAGCGCATTAGTCGCGCTATCTTCACAACATTTCAACGTCCAACTATGCCCATGATGAGTGTGTGCGATTTGCCATGTATTCTCTCCTTCCTACACTCTGAATTCATAAAATTGACGCCTTACTTCTATCCTTAAACGCATGAAAAGGAGCTCGCCACATCATCAAAGTCGTAATCCGTGAGATTTACAGGTCCTGGACCGAGAATGTTCGAATTATTCTTCTCGACGTACAGATTTCGTCCGATACAATTCACATCCCTACATCACCGTCAATGGAACGCCGATCTAGCTCCTAGAAAGTGCATTGATGAAGACGTTCTACTTACTCGTATAAGAAACAACCATTTGCAAGACCAGAAGCGACAAAAGCCCAGCTTGCTTGCTTGTCAATGTCAGCGCCAAGGTTCTGGCACTTCCAGCGATCTACGACCCAAGATTTGGATAGGCCTTGACCATTTGTCTCGCTGGAGAGGAGAAAGACGACGGAAGACAGGGCGGGCGTAATGTGGAACAGCAGTGTAGCTGCGATGATAGTCTTCATGATAGATAGGGGTAATAATCGGGCAGTCTAGAGGCTATAGGAGGATTTTAGAAACCAGAACAAACTCAATGGCGTAGTGATGTTGAAGAAGAATGTCTACAGAGTATAGTGGGACGCTCCTAGGATACCCTTTTCGCAGGCAATATGTACCGGATAAAGCAATCTAGCTCTGACCAACTTTCTTCCCTTGTCTAGTTCTTATCCTGTTTCCCGTATAAAAGGCGTCCAATATTGGGCTACATCAATAGTAGTCATTGCAACGATGATGCATGTAAAGTGTAACATTGGTTGTTGAGCGTTGCGTGGTAGCGACCAATTGCAGTTGTTACGTCGGGTGTCAGATGCTACGTCAGGCGAACCGGTCAATAGTCAGCTCGTACAGCTAGAACCGTCACAGACCCGACAATATGACTTGACATATCCTGTAGGATGCTGCGAAGCTTGTGGCGAAGTTAACCAAGCTGACGAGTACTTGGCTTACAGGCAATTCTTCGCCGCGACTCAGTTTATTTGATTAGGCAATCGCTCTGTAGTATTGCAGTAACGTACAATGTTTACTATTCTATAGAGAGGTTGCATTATGGATGGATTTGTACTACCATCGCAGTTGGTTCTGGCGTGGCAAGGCTGAAAGTCACGATGATGCATCTATCCAGCAGTGGGTCTGGTCTTGCTGTCCGTGCGTCGTGGACGCATTCCCCCAGCCTCCACTAGCGTGCTCTGGTCGCATCTGTCATCGATATTCGCCCTCGACGCGCCAAATGTCGCCCTGAAGTGCGCATACCTGGCGCAAGTATACAGCGCAGCCAAAGTCAGCGCGGGAACCACCAGACTCGTTTCAACATGGACGCGCCATCTTCACAACTCCATCTCGAAGTTCGCGACTCGGTCGTTCGCGCTCTTGCAACGCGCAGGCCTATCCTCCACCATCTAAATGCCGATACATCCTGGCTACTCCAAATACCACGCCCAGCGAACGCCGTCAAACATGGAAGTCGCATATACTACAATGTTCTGATTGACCCGTGGTTCGTTGGCGGGCAAAGCGATGTCGCGAAATGGTTTAGCCAACAATTCCACGCGACGGAGAGCGCTGTTAAGAGTGTTGCCGAAGTGGAGGAGCTGGCGCGACAGGTGGAGATATTAGCTGGAGGCCTACGAATGGGTAGGAAAGGAAGGAAGAGAAACATAGAGGAGGTAGAGGAGGAAAGCTATGTGGATTGTGTGGCTGTTAGCCATGAGTTCACAGACCATTGTCATAAAGAGACACTTCTAGAGGTACATCGTGATGTACCTGTTCTCGCGACAGAGGTATGTATCTCCCGCTATAACGTTCGAGAGATGCTGTGCTGATAAGCCCCACAGCAAGCAGCCAACCTAATATCCTCCTGGAACCACTTCCGTACAGTGATAACAACACCCACCTTCACCGACAACGCCGACTGGCACGACTACAGCCTCTCCCCTCTCCCTTCGTGGCTCAGCATATCGCGTCTTACGGCGTCTGGAGATTCTCTCTACTACCACTCTGCGCTCCTCATTACCTTCGCTACACATCCCTTCTTATCGACAGCCACGCCTAAGAAACGTCTCTCAAGTCTCAGTATAAACGGTGATGGAGCAGAGGACTTCTCATCCAACATCAATGGCGAGGAAGCGGAGTGTGTAATCTACACGCCACACGGCATCCCCCACGAGGCCCTCAGCCCAATCGCCAAAGCCGATCCACCGCTACATACACTCGCTTTCCTCCATGGACTCCACGACGTATCCATATCTTCCGCTCAGCAACTCAATCTCGGTGCCAAGAACGGTGTTCTTGCACAGCGCATATTACGAGCGAAATACTGGGTCGCAACACACGATGAAGTCAAGAAGGGCGGAGGTTTCATAAGCTGGTTCCTACGTAGAAAGGTCTGGACAGTAGAAGACGCGTTGAAGGAAGCAAGGGCAGATGATGAGGGCGAGTTTACGGATGTGAGGTTCCAGGACATGAGGAACGGAGAGAGTAGAGTCCTGGAATGAATGTGAATATTTTGAGGATGGACACGAGGGATATAATTGTAAGTAATTTGTGATCTTAGTCCTGAGTATATACCCAATTCGCGAAGCTGGGCCTGAAAGGACAGCAATCTAAAACATTTCTCCCATCATCGACGTTGCAAGACGAACTGCCAGTACAATGTCCTACAACCGATCGGGGAAATACTGTCATAGGCACAAATCATATTTACTTCACACAATGTCACAAAACAAACATGAGCACTACAGCTCCTCCAGCTCTCCTAGTTCCATCTTTTCTTGCAGAATTCTTTGTTCTTCTTGGGATCTTTTCTTTTCTGCTGTCCGCTCATTCTGGATATTTGGAGGAGGCAAGGTACCAGGAGGTGGGTTGAACTATTGCCTTTAGCAGTGTTAGACAACGACAGGGGTGACGAGAATATCTCCAGTGTACTTACTCTTTCAACGTACACCTACCATCAACACTGTGTCGAAGATCTTCAGTCTCTTGGCCCAACTCCGTGTGCTGGTTGAGATACTCTGTCCGCACTTCGAGTAACATAGGTTGTGTATCGTATATATTTTTGCCCGTCGATTCGTTTGGAGAGCTGGCAGCCAACACACGATCCTGCAGATATCATCACGGTCTACTGCATGCCGGCATTTGCGATCTCCTGGACGCTTCATCTTCGCGAAGAACTGTCTTGGTGATCATTTGTGCTGCGATAACCTAAAAGACGGTGCCTTAGTAAACTACATAGGTTGCCGAGCGATGTCCAGAGGTCAAAAGATGTTGCGATAGGGACATCGAGACGAGATGGAGATGTTGTAGGTTTACATTGCGTGCGGCGGCGTATGACGTACACAGGCTTGTGTATGGATTGCCCTCTGCCATATGTCGATGCTTCAAATGTACTGAGGTCTTCCTACTTTGTCTAAAGATATGTCATATCAAACACACTCAAGGTGATACAGCGCCATGTGATTACCCACTCAGTCATCCGGTGTTGCTTTGCATTCTTCCTCTTCCGCAAAGAAGCTCTCAACAATCATCTGCACCAATATCATTCGTTCAGAAACAGCGACTACAAAAAAACACTCCGAGTCCTTACTCATTACTTTCAATCTATTTACAACCCCTGGAATGCTTTTTAAGCCTCTCGCAGAAGTTCTCGGTGCCCTCCACATCGACAAAAGGAGAACCTATATGTTAGAATGGGACAGAGTGCTCTATAAACTTAATACCACGCAAGACGTCATCACAGAGCCTTTCCAGCTATTTCCGTATCATATAGTAAAGTGCATGACATTAACCACATTAGGTGCGTGAATGAGCGGTCGTGCAATCGGTAGCCCATGTCAGGAAAATATAGAACTTCCTGCGGGTTGACACCACCATGTTGTACAGGTTAGGATTATGGTCACGCCTTAGAAGAGAGACGGTAGAGGAACGGAGGAGATGTCTGGTTATTTCTTGCTCAAACCACTGCCAGAGTGTCCTCGGCGAAGGCTGTTTTGAACTGATTCATCTGCGGTATTTTCTCTCTTCTTTTGCTTGTCCATTCACTTGAGATCACACACCTTCTTAGATACCATCTAACTGGCCTAGCTATCAGTCCAAAGAGTGCTTGCCTCGGTAAGGAGCGCGTAATCTGCAGCTGAATTTCTGACGCTAATCGACCTATCGAATGACTCGTCTTAGTTTCTCTACAAGTTGTTCCTCACTGATTAGTGAATGGCTTCACGCACACCTCAGTCCGCTTTTGTGTAAGAATAACTCAGCTGGTTCCAGTAGACAAGTTTTTCAATCGACGCATGACTTGTAGCTGAGCCCTCTTTGTGGAAGAAAAGTTTGTATGATCCTCCAATATGCCCAGGCATGATTCTTGACCCTGCGCGTTTACAACTACGGTATTGAGATCCCATGATGTGTCGCTTGAGCCAAATCAACGCAACTTCGCGTTGCGGAAGCTAAAGGAAGCCACAATGCACGCACGTTTCGTGATACACATTCATGATGTGATGATGTGAATGAAAAGCGCACGCGCACTGATACGAACCAGACTATCGATTGCGCGGGAAGACTGCCGGATTCGGGAACGTCGCTAACTACACGATTACGGGTTGTATGTGTATATTGATTATGCATGCATGCATGCATAAGCGCGGCGTGAGCTCGTGTTTTTCAGCGCTTTCGCACAAGTGTGTGTACAGAATAATATTGATCAAGTGTCTTAGTGTGAGTGTATGTTTGGACTTGAGTGAAATGAGCTGCAATTGGTAAAGTGCTTCAAAGCCACCACATCACGACGAAAGATAAGCAAGTACTTTTGAAGGAGTGACAAAAAGTTGGGTCATAAGATGTGTCTACTACTAAACTCGTACCTATCGTAACCATTCTATACCAGTTGTTCGTTGAATATAAACAGTTGAAGTATGAGAAGAAATTCCAAACGCATGAAAACAACCAAATTTGGACAGAAACGCTTGAGCAATGCAAGGTGAGGAAAGCAAGGCCACAGTTCCTACGTTACTGTTTCGACACCTCTGCCGCTCGTAATTGTTGCTTGAGATAAGAAGTGAAAGTGCTCAAGCTACCTGAGTAGCTTAGTAGTGGGGGTAGGCGACGTAGCCAGTGGGTTGAGGGGTAACCTTCGAGGATGAAGGAGTGTTCACCGGGTAGGGTACAGCGGAGCTAGAAGGGGTGGCAGCAGGGTACTCCTTAGTCGAAGAAGAGGGAGTGGCGGCCGGGTATCCCTTAGTAGAGGAAGAAGGTGTGGATGCTGGGTATTCCTTGGTAGAAGACGAAGGGGTAGGGTACTCAGTGGGGTAGGCCTTAGATGAGGAAGGGGTGTGAATCGGGTAGGGCGCCGACGAAGCAGTGTAGTGGATCGAGCTACCGGAGGATGGGTAAGGGGGCTTGACCTCGGAAGAAGGCTTGGGACCAACAGGGTAGGGCTTGACGGAGGATGGCTTGGGGCCCTCCGAGTAGTGCTCCACGGAGGAGGATGGCTTAGTACCCTCGGGGTAGACAACAGAGGGGGCTGGGCCAGGAGTGTAAGCACCACCAGCACCAACGGTGACGGTCTTGGTCTCAACCTCATGTACAGTCTTGGTGACAGTCACTGGGGCAGGGCACTGAGGACCGCCAGGAGTACCAGCGGGGTATGTTGGTGCAGGGGCCTCAGGAGTGCCAGCGGAGTAAGTCGGCTTAGGAGCCTCAGGAGTACCGGCAGGGTAGGTTGGCTTAGGAGCCTCGGGGGTGCCAGCAGGGTAGGTCGGCTTGGGAGCCTCAGGAGTTCCCGCTGGGTAAGTTGGCTTGTGTCCCTCAGGAGTCTCCGCTGGGTAGACGGGCACGTCAGATGTAGGCTTCGAGCCGTGAACAGTCGAGGTCACGGTGACAGTGGAGTAGGTTGGGGTCAAGTATGTTGAGTAGATGACACTGGAGTGCTCTCCCTGACCAACTGAAGTGCTGCATGGCACCCAAGATGTGTGGGTGGATGTAAGCGTAGTGGTGTAGTCGGAGTGGGGGTACTCGGAAGCCGATGAAGGCTTGGGGGTAGGCTTGACATAGCCAGTTCCGTAAGAAGAGGGGGTAGGCTTGACGTAACCAGTTCCGTAAGAAGAGACGTGGTAGACGGGAGTGGAAGCACTGTAGGCTGGGGTTGAAGCGTGGTAAACCGAGGAGCTCTCGGCGGGCTTGGAAGCACTGTAGATGGGGGTAGACGCGCTGTAGACGGGAGTCGAGGCGTGGTATGCCGATGAGCTCACTGCAGGAGTAGATGCGCTGTAGACAGGAGTGGAGGCATGGTAAGCTGAGGAGCTCTCAGCAGGCTTGGAAGCACTGTAGATAGGAGTGGACGCGCTGTAGACGGGAGTGGAAGCGTGGTAAGCGGATGAGCTCGCTGCAGGGGTAGACGCATGGTAGACGGAAGAGCTTGCTGCGGGAGTGGATGCGCTGTAGGCAGGAGGGGTCGACGCCTCGTAGACTGGCGTGCTAGCTGGGTAGTGGACCTGAGAGCTGGGGGTGGATGCTTCGTACACCTTGGAGGAGGCCGGAGTCGAGGCGTGGTAGGCACTGGGAGTTGATGCTTCGTATGGCTTTGATGAAGTTGGGGCAGGCTGGTATCCAGTAGGAACAACAGCTGAGTAGCCGTATTGAGGCATGGCCAGGGCCGAGCCGACGAGAGTAGCAGCAACGTAAGAGTAACGCATCTTGATAGTGTTCTTGATTCGATCTTTTTACGATAGTTCCGAAGGTTGTTGAGTTGGGATTAATTATTATGAGGCTTTTGTGATTGCACTGTAGCGAGTGTTGGTTGGAAAGCGAAGGTGAATGGTTGGATGAAGATAGACATGATAGATGAGATGGAATGAAAGTTATATACCATAGTCTCCAGACTTGTCCGTATGCTTCCATGATGGCTGACGTCGATGCCGTCCCCACTTTGTCAACACGAAGTAACATCTCGCCATGTGAAGAGCTCCGCTCTACGTACGAGCTGTCGATAGCGTGAACATCCCGAAAAGTAACATCAGCGAAAAATTCGCAGGGGTTGAGCGAGTAACGGCACAGCCCTACCGCACGTTAATGCCAGCGTTGCCGGGATGAGCGACCGTTGTGAACTATATTTGCATCACGCTTTAACCATAATGGGATTAGCATATTACCAGCTACCAGTCACGAAAGCCGGAGCGCTCGGAACTCAGCCTTCACCACACCACCGTCATCTCCGCCCAGCTCATCGTCCGCCAGGCCTCAACAACTCATGTTCGCGAGATCGCGCATTCGGCGACACTTCCGTTGTTGCTATGCTACCCAAGTACCGCTCCCAAAGATAGCCGGCCACGTTCCTGAAGATCCACCAGGGCCGTAGCCTCGGGCGCCCCACCAGTCCGAGCCTTGCTTCCTCCGAGTTCCACCTGCGCGCATTATGGAAGCTATACTCGATCGGGTCTATGATAACAGACCTTCAATGAGCCGACGAGCTCTGTACTGTCGCCTTCCCTCATTGTCTAGTCAATACTCCTTCACTCCTTCGCTAGCAACGCCACATATGCTGACTTGCAGTTACGAGATCCCGGTCTTACTCTTTCAGGTACTGTACGCGGGAAACAAGCAATGCGCTGATGGTCCGTGGCGTTCGTCTCTCTCCGACCTGACATGAACGTTGCACCGCTGCTACCAAGCGGCCATGAGTCTTAGCATCGTACGTCGCTCTTACAAACAAATGTGGCAAACTTACCCAAGACTGTATACTATGGAAACAGTGTGGCTGGACCTGCAGTGGTCTGCGCGATCAAAGCCGTGCACGCTAATACGAAGTGCAAGCGTTGGGTTGGGCAAGTGCCCTCTCTCCACTGTGCTCCTCGTATTTTTCGACAGTCAGCCAGTAGAATTCCCTTTCTCAAAAATACACCAGACTATTACCAAGCCTGAGCCAGGTGTCATCTCAGCCACATACATCAGACATGGCGCTAGTGCAGGTTGTGCCTGTACCTCGACATTTCTCCCCTGTTTGTAGAACCCGGCGGAAGCTTATTTCCCCTAAGCTTCTTACCGATCGGAGCAAGCGGAGCACGACCACGATTTCGACACTTATTACTAGAACGTTCTAATACACCAACAGACCTTTTCTCGGATTTCCGTCTCTGCTGTTTCTACAGTCACGTTCGCGGTAAAAACTACTGTCTATCGAAAGTTGACAAGCAGAGCAGCTTCTATACATGTTTGGACTAGACACTTACGACCTGAACAGCTGAACATGGCTGAGCGATCGCAGCTTACCACGGTCATTCTTCTTGCACCACTCAACTCTTTTTTTTTGCCCACAAGATATGTACTTTGTACAAAGAAACGTGCGCGATTGTGATGCAATGCGATGATAACGTCCTGTTGAACAGCAGAGAATGTACCTAGATCGCTTTGACCGCATAGAACCTATGTGCAGCGTGCATCCGCTGGATGCACAACATGTATGCGCTCTGGGCGCAACGCTCGTCATCAAAATGCCGCAACATCAGCAACTCAGTGCACTATCAGGTGAGAGTTTTGCTGATACGAGCAACAGCGGAGGTATTCCCACCAATTGATGCCATTAATAGCACCGGATGGTGGTCCAGCCGCGCTAGGCTCTCGCTCCAGATCTGGGCCCCGTTACTGACCAGTATACAGAGACAAGACTGCCGGCACACTGCGGTTGAGCGCGACGATTGGATGAGTCCTGACCACATCAAGGGAGGAACAGCGATAGATGCATCATGGTCATCTCGTCTGTCATTACCAGATGTAGCGAAGCTGAACAACTCTTTGCAGTAGATACCTAAACCTGATCACCCTCAACACATAACTTGTAGCGATGACGACAGGCCCGGTAGCCCCGCGAGACACGAAAAACGCCGCCTAAGGTTGCAACATACCCACAAATTCCGGAGAAACTCAGTCACATCACTTTCGTTAACTTGGATACCAGTGTGGGGCGTAATCGTTGTTCGATCTTCCAGTAATCTTCGCAAATGGAACAATAAGCGTTGACCTGCTGAATGCTAATAAAATTTTGGACGCTCGGCTTGATTTGCTGGTAGTGCCTCCATCGGCGTCACTCTGCCTTTCAAAAACGAACTGGCAGCCGCATATGCTAAGCTAAGAAGCAGTAGTAGAGGCTACCATCCGCTCAACAAGAATTTCTACAGCTACGCCTAGGCTGTCTAATAAGGTTAAGACGGGATAATCATCCGAAAGAGCGCAAAGTGTCCAATGGAGGTCACTGCTGAGGGCTGGTAGTTCGTCAAGGATCCCACTGTTCATGCAGTTGAACATGAAGGTGAGGCGACTGTGGATCTCGATCTCAAGTGCTTCGAGAAGCGAAGGAGGTACGGCCGATGCAGGCGCAATTTCAAGGTATGCTTCCTGGCTGGGTTGAACGAATGTAAGCTCTGGCGTAGTGTTCCAGATGGCATTGGTAAACATATATTCGTAGTCTTCTATGTCTGTAGTTTTCAGAGGTTCAGGGATGCAATTTGAGTTCGAGATCGGCATCGCTGGTGATTCAGAGTCATCGTCGTCTAGGAAACCTAAACGACGACTTTCTAGCGGCTTCACGAATCCTCGATGATTGGCAAAGTCCAGAGAGTCTCCCGAAGAAGACGAGCCGGAGCATGGTGATTCTTCCTCCGAGATTATGGGCAATAGCTGACGATTAGGTAAGAGTTGAGTGGCAACTCTTAATTGCGGCATCTGACGCTGGTGTCGAGACCTATTGCTAGAGTAAAGTCCATATGGTTTACATCGTTGGCGCGCGGTGGGCTGGAGACTGAGTTCAGGCTGAACGGGTGCTGGCGTCCGAGAAATGCCTGAATACAAGTCGGGGCTAGATCTGTTTGGGTTCAAGCTATTTCGTAGTGGCAGCAAGGTTGCATAATCTTCTGCTGTTGGGTGAAGATAGACCAATTCAGCAAGGCCGATCTCCGCCGGCTCTTCATCCTCATCGGCGGTATCGCGGTGAATGACTGGCCGTGGTTCTTCTTCCTCCATTGCCAATAGTTGGTTCAAGGCTGTATAAGCGACAGACTGATCTGTGTCAGTGTCGACATATTTTAGTTTTGGGTGGTGATTCAGTGACAAACTTTCTGCGTCTGGATCAGAGACATCAGAATCACTCTCGTTGTCGCACATAAACGATGCAGCGTTAGAGCTAGACGGGTACAACAGCTGGTCAATTACCTTGGAGGCTTTCACATCTTGTGGAGTGGTATCAAAGTATCCACTGTCAAGAGGTAGCACTTCCGAAATGCCTGTATGAACTTCGTATACGTCAAACATGTCCGCATTGACGAACTCATCTATAAGCTGAGATATGTCTTCTGTCGTGGGGTACATGTCTGAGAGACTGCAGTCGTCGTCATCGTCGTCGTTATTAGCAAGCATGAAGTTCTCGCCAGGCACGCGAAGACTACACATCTCACCATCTAAACATGAACACTCGCCATCTTGACAATCATCGAGGAAGAATGTAGTGGCATAATACAGATCTTCGATGCTGTGGTCATACTGGATAGTTGCGGAGCGAGCAGTGATATTGCGAAGATGATCTAATCCTGGGAGCATTGGAGAACCGGTGGTGTATCGAAGGATGGGGTCGCATTCAAGTCGCCAGGGTCTTTCGGTCGCAGTCCCCCCTGCGAAGATACTACTTAGTGCTAGGTTCTCATCGTGTGTGAATGGAGACACTGCATCGAAAAGTAGCTCTGCATATTCCGATGCTCCCGAGAAAGAAGGGCAGTCCAGCTGCTCGCTCTCCTGGGTCGGATCTGAAATGGCAGCAGACCTTGTCCGCGTCTTTGTCGTGGAAGAACTAATCATCTCATTTGGTACATGATCAAATGAGTCAAAGCACCCCAATGAGCGCAGTAGATGTTTAGCAGCAACTGTAGCCTCACACTGCTCTGTGTAAACTTCTTCTGCATCTGTGATTCCAGTCAGCACCTCTGAGTGGCCATGTTCATCTCTCGCCTCTCCAGTGACGGATGGATAAGGAGATCCGTATATAGGCATAAGGTACAAACATGTCGACGGTAAACTAGGTTTCCCAAATGGGGTTCGAGCTAGACGCCTACCAGAGACTGCATATCCAGATGCAGCGGGGAGACCCATATTGAGAGTTATGATTCAAAGAAAGTGGAATTATCGGTGCGTATCAAGCTCAGAGTTCCTGCTTACATTGATCACCGGGATCAGTTGAATTACGGTATGCGTATGCAAAGTTGCTTGTTGTTGACGAAGCTGAACCAGCGCCAGTATCTCACTCTGTGAGATGTAGGACAGATCGAACCCCGTCAGAGAATTCCTTATAGTCAGTAAATCTCGTACGCTGTACAGTCTATGGAAGTGCACTGTGTGGTATGTTAGCTTTGAGGCCAAGAAAATACCACAGCGTTGTGGGGTAATATTTCTGTAAACATGAGTAAGCCTACAACATTCACCATGCCTGTGGTAGGATGAACAGTTAAACTGCGTTGATGGTTCTTCGTGTTTTAGCAAGGTTCAGCTTGTGAGCTGTCTTATAGTATGCTCTAGTTATAAATAGGTACAAAGAAGTGAAAGAGAGGAGAGTGGACACATGATCATATACCATGTGCGAAGACCATCCTCGACGATGATGACCACTGTATCGTGAATGCATCACGAAGCCTACAGGTTGATTTGCAGACCCAATGTAGCATCTACAGTGGCTTTCCCGTAGAAAGGCTCCGTACCTGCATTACCCACGTTGACATAAGTGCTGTCCTTGAAAACACCGACCTTGACAAGCGCTTCTAGCCACTCTTTTAGGTCTCCCTGGAAAGGACTCTGAAACATCTTATCAGGCAGCAAGCTTGAGACTGTAATACCGGTATCCTCGTTCTTACCCTGGTACAACTTCCAGCTCGTACCGAACAAGTTGGGGATTGTGGCTTTCGCACCAGCAGGCCATCCGATGGGTAGTTGGCCACCAGTATATTCAAGCCATAGCATGAGCTCTTGGGCGGAAGAAGATGTGGAGTCGCCTTTAGTATCGGAGGTCATAAAGTCGAAAGCAATATTGCCTTTGTAGGCGGTGGTATTGGTGCGCGTCCATTCGTATGTTGCAGGAATTGATTTGATAGCGGAGAGCTTTGTCTCGAGGTTTTGGGTCAGGCCGACGAAAGTGTAACCCTTGGGCACATTGTCGCTAGACTCAGGTCAGTGACAAGATCATACAAACCTTGGTAATCATGAAATTCGAGTGTACATACGTGGCTTTTACATAATCGATGTCAGTAACCGCACTCCACTTGATCTTCTTGTTCCCATCTGAACCAGTCGATACGGAGTCGTATGCTGTGCACATGCTTCCCTTGGTTTGTGCCGAGTTGTAGAACATGTTGTACACGATCCATGGGGTATCAGTCAGAACGACGTTCTGAGCCGTGCCACACATCTTGATTGGTGCCTGTGTCGCCGAGTTGGAGATGGTGACGCCTTGGGGAGATGGCGCTGCCAGAGCTGGAGCGGCGGCCAGCGCAGCGCTGAGAAGTGCAAGGGTGAGCATTCTTGAAAGAGCGTGATATAGGTAAACGAGTGACTGGATGAGAAATGTGACGACGAGTGGCTTGATGTGGCTATCCTGATGGTCGTGGTCTGATACTTATCAAAAGACTCAAATGATGTGTTATTTCCCGAGCGCGGGAACTAAGGCGGTGAAACGCGCTATGTGTGTAATCGAAACGAACCATCAACGGGTAGGTCCGCCGCATCCGATCGCAGCGCAAGCCTAGAACGATATGTGATTCTATGCGTAACCCCCTCAGTAAGTTGCCTCCGTGATTGGTGGAAGTTGTGGTCGTTCCGCCGACTTTGAAGGGATTGGACGACAAGGCATGAGGCAGCCACAGTCGCATGCAGCCCCAGATCGAAGGGCTAGGTAGTTACGCGTCAGCGCAAAGAAATTGCGATATGAAGCCGGGGCCAAGCACTCGCTCGGGGAAATCCTTTACGATGAGTAATCGCTCAGACTCCACAGTGAAGATCCATCTTCTTGCTGATACCTGTGGAGTCGTAAATCTCTCAAGCTTTCCAATAGCTGAAGGTTCCAAGCTCACAACCCCTGGCTTCCTCTTCCGCTGCTGCGAAGGCCTTGGGGTTCTTCCTTTTCTCTTGTCTGAGCGTATGCTTCTCCCAATCTTTCATCACCTGTAATGTTGCCACAACCATCGCTGAATCTATAGTTGCCGAACGAATATGAACCGATTCATCAGGCAAAGACCCTCCACTTCCATCACCATATCCGTCCCAGAAGCAGTGATCTGCAACGATACTGCCATAAAGCGGATCCGCGATGTTGCCCATGGCAACAAAGAGAGCATGTCTTAGTGTGTCATACCTGGAGCCGTGAATGGACGATACCTTGGTGCTCGTAACCCACATGTAGGCGCATCCGTCTGGGCCGATGAAGCGTAGGGAATCATAATTAAGCGCATGCACGTAGGTTGTCAAGATGGATCTGGCATTTGGACCTCCATAGCTCAAGACTTCAGACTTGCGGAGATTAGTCCTGGGGTCCAGCTTCAGATCATAGGTCCAAATAGCTTGATGCGCTTTGGAAACCTTTTTGCTCGATTCAGTGTTCTCGTCGGGACATGTCATTGTCCATGAAAACTTGGGACTGCGGAAGCTGCTACTCGTGCTCTTGAACTTGAACGAGTATGATGGTGGAACAGGAGTTTGCGCATGCTCTGAGGGACGTATTGTTCGCCAGGCGCACGAGTCTGGTGTTTCCAACCAGCTGGATCCGGATGGTCGTTTGCTTTCCTGGTGAGCATACAGGGTTGAAACAACGGGTGGTGGGTTCCATTGAGGCGGGTATGGTGCTTGGCGGTATTGCTCAAGATATCCGGGCAACGATGATGGTTCCAGTGCGATTGACGGTCGCTTTGTGGGCTGTTGATCCAGTAATACCGGAATCGGTAGATTCTCAAGTGGCGACTGGGGATCTTTGTATACCGGGTATTGCTCCACGACTACTTCGGGCAAGGTACTGAACCTACTTAGATCTTGCGGTGAATCGAATGATCCAGGACTCCATGGTTCGGCGGGTGCTCCAACGCTTCTCGAATGAGGCCGTAGGGATTGTGCGGAGCGCTGATGAATGAGAGGCAGAGGCGCGACTTGCTGGGTAATCACTGGAGCCATGCTCACTGGCCGCTGATCGGCGAAAGAAGAGACGCTTCTCGAATGAAGTCGCAAAGATTGCGCGGATCGCTGCTGATGTAGCAATGGTGACAACCCTTGGGTGCTAGGCGGCATCATGCTTGCAGGGCGACCATGCTGGCTTACTGCACTTTGCGATTTTTTCCGAATTCCTTCCACTTCCAAATGTTGCATCCTGTGCGCAAGCAGCTCATCCTGTCTCAATTGCTCCTCAGTTGTTGTAGTTGGTGGAGCTGGCGGCAAGGGTGCTGGTAGCTCTGCGATAGTTGGCACCGGTGCATCTTCGCTATAGTGTGGTTGTATATAGGATCCTGGGGCAGGTGCATACTCCCCGTAGTACGAGTGGTTAGGCGATGAGGCCGGCGAATAACGGTTTTGTGGGTACCCTGGCTGTTGTGGAGGCGACTGCTGGCGGCGATGAGTCTGCCAGCCCTGCCATTGAGGAGTGGGAGTCAGCGACGACATGGTGTTTACCACTGGTACGACGTCTTAAAGAACGCGATGACAGTCGAGATTCTTGGAGCGTAGGGACTCGTCTTCAAGTATTGGTAGATCAGCAAGATTTCGCCCCCATCCAAAACATGTCAACCCCCTCGCGATTCTCAAGGCGCAAGGCGCCCAAGATGAACGATGAACACAAGCGACAGACTCAAAGACACTGACGGACAAAAGCAACAAATGGGTTAGGTGTTAGTAGAAAGCAAGGCCTATGCGAGGTTTGTGGGGTCTGCGTAAGGGCAGACGAGTGAGGGATCAACAGGATCTTGGTGCCTGTGTAGCCGCGGGAGGCTGGACGCCTGAAACATCGCCTCAGGCCGCCCTGCTGAGAGCAGCCGGCTATTTTCCAAAACGGCTCTTGTCGACCACAACGACAGAGCGACGCAACACAAACTTATATGAAATCGATGGCTCCTCACAAAGCATATGCCGATGTACAAGAGTGGGTATGCATGGGTTGTGATTGTCTTAGGAAGGTGGGATAGATGGGGGAAGATCCGCGAGCGCCAATGATAAGAAGAGGGTTATCACCATCACCCTCCTCAACAATCGTTGATTCCAGCCTCATCGAACATTGACAAAGTTGTTCGCCTACTTGCATCATGACTTTAAAGCATCGATTGGGTGTGGTTGATCAGAAAGTGCGCCTGCATGGAGACGACGAAAAGCACGAACAGACGGATGCATGGAGTAATCGCGATCTGATCCCACTCCCGCCAGAGCGGAGGACATGGGGTTGGTTCAACTTCTTCGGGTTTTGGGCAATTGCGTCGCTGAACCTCGCAAATTGGCAGACCCCAAGCACATTCTTGGGTAAGCTACAACGAAGGGCGAATGTTGATATTTGATAGCTGATAGTCACGGAAGCTACGGGTTTATCCGTCCCACAGGCTATCCTTATCATCGTTGTCAGCAGCATATTGATCGCCCTATTCTCTACAACCATCGCTTGGGTTGGATTGAAGTGGCACATTGGCTTCACAGTACAGAACAGGTATAGTTGGGGTATGCGAGGAAGCTTCATACCTTTGCTACAAAGAATCCTACTCAACTTCATTTGGAATGCGGTCCAATGTAAGCAAGGCTCTTTATGGGTGATATAGCACTACGAAACTGATCCAGGTTAGGTTGGAATGGCGGCCGTTTAGTTGCTGTATGCCTTACTGCGATCTGGCCATCGTACGCACGCATGCCGAACACTTTCAGCCCTAGCTTCCCTGCCACGACGGACCAATTCGTAGGCTTTGTCGTGTTCTGGTTCTTATCCACCCCATTCCTGTGGCTGCGGCCAGAGAAGTTCAAGATTCCATTCCTCGTAGTCTGCATATGGTGCGGCGTCGGCATGTTGGCATGGATGATCTGGGCAGTGGTAACTGCGAAAGGCGTAGGCCCTCTCTGGAACGCTGGCCAAACCATCCCTTCAGGCTCCCCTTGGGGTACTTCATGGCTCATCATGGCTGGCATAAACCAAACCATTGGCGGACTTGCTGCAGGTATCACCAATGGCAGCGACTTCTCACGCTATGCACGTTCAAGGAGGCACTATATCCATGGTACCATAGCTAGCTGTGTGATCACAAACGTCGTCGTCTCATTGGTTGGACTGGTCACCACTGCTTCGGGACAAAAGATTTATGGCGAGATCTATTGGAACCCACCAGATCTACTTATGCGCATGATGGACAACGGGAACGGCTCATCGCGGTCCCGTGCGGGTGTATTCTTTCTGGCTGCAGGTTTTGCCTTCACTGCAATGTTCGAAAACATATGCGGTAACGCTGTCTCTGGTGGAATTGACCTTGCTGGTCTCTTTCCGCGTTACATCAACATACGTCGCGGTGCCATTATCACGTTTGTGGCTGCATGGATCGTCCAGCCATGGCAACTCATCAATCGTGCCACCACTTTCATCGCTGTCTTGTCGTCCTTCTCTGTATTTTTGGCGCCTATAATTGGTATCATGTCATGCGATTACTTTCTCTTGCGAAAGAGAAGGGTTCGCCTGAGTCATCTATACCGAACAGAGGACTCGTCGTACTACTTCACCAAAGGCTTTAATTGGCGGGCGATACCGTCTTGGCTTTGTGGTTGGGCACCAACTATTGGAGGCCTCGTCGTGACCGTCAGAGGAGATGTTGATCCCCCGCGGTCCTTAGTGCAACTCTACAATATGGCCTTCTTGATAGGTAAGTAAGGTATTACAGGCTGTAGAGGTTACACTATCGCTTACATCCAATCAGGCTTCTTTATCAGCGCCGTTGTCTTCTACATACTCAACCTGATCTTTCCCGTCCCTGATATGGACCAGATCGATCCCACCGATCTATACGGTACCTTCACGGAGAGGGAGGCCAGGCGAGCTGGTGTATCTCCACTAGACGATGCGCCAATGCAGGTGGCAACACATGGACGGCGATCGACCGAACATGTTGTGATTTATGGAGAGAAGGGTGTGTAAGTTCGAGTAGCATGCTGGTAAATTACTACGTAAGGAGAGTTACGCGCCGACATAGAAAGCAAACTCGGCTATAGAGCCATAGGGCTGAAAAGGTCAAATTAGAATATTATGCAATAGTGATGCATGGGAAACTTTGCACCGACTGCTTAGCGAGCTCCATAGTATCTATACCATCGCTAGACACTAAAACCTGATTATTGTCACGCAACAAGCACATAAATCACAATACTGAAACATTTGAGGTGTACTTTCAGAGTCTCAGAGAGAAAATTTTGTCCTTATTCCGTACTACTACACTCATTTCACAACTGGAATCATCTTCAACGGAGCAAGTCGCATCTGCTTAATTGATGTCTGAGGCCTTCACAACCGTTCCAAACATGTCATCAATCTCTGTCAAAGCAACCTTCTTCACCTGCCCGGCGGGGATGTCCTTCATATCGCGCTGTCCAACACCATCTTCAACAACGAGGGTCTCGTAACCTAATGTAGTCGCTTCACGAGCGGTACTTGATACACAACCATGTGCCATGTATCCCGTGAGAACAAGTTTCCGGAGTCCAGTCTTCTTGACAATCTCTGCTAGATTCGTCTCCGAAAATGATCCAGCATGTTTCTTCCATACGATGGCCTCGCCTTTGATGGCTTCAACACCATCCATCTCTTTGGTAAGTTTGCCATTGGACTTGAAAATGGGTGCTTCATCGGAGCCAGTGTCGTGCAGGACATGTACGACGTGGCCGTTTTGCTCCCGGTATTTCTCCAGAAGGCTGGAGATTGCGATGTTGACCTGTTTGTAATCTTGAGCTGGGAGACTACCGTAGATGTACTCGTCCTGAGCGTCGATGATGACAAGGACAGAGTCTTTGACCGATGCTGTCGAATTGGGGATTCCAATGACTTGGCGAAGCGAAGGGGTTGGCATCTTGGATGGCTCGTTTGGAAAAATTGAAAAGTTGAGAAATAATTGGTATGTATAAAGACGATCAATGTTCAAGTAGTTAGATTAAGTGTTAAGAGTTGAGTGCGTGTTTGTGAGTGTGCTGGATATCTGTTCCTTGCAGACACCCAGACCTTTATACCATGAGAATGGTAGCCCTTGCAATCTTCTCTAACATTCGTCCGTCGCCTACCAAGACCGAGATCTTGATCTGATGTGGTAATCCAGCGAGTATGTTTCCTGAACTGATCAATCGGACCGTGCTGGTAGGTAAGCTAGTCGAGAAATAATGCTACCCAATGTGGTTAGTCCATCCCGAGGTCTGCTACCGCCCAGATCATCGAACAGAGCCTCTCAGTGAGGCGGACAGTTCGTAACAGATTCTGCCTAGAGTACCCCACGCAAAAACTCTGGAAGATTTCCGATACGAGAGACTTGTACGGAACTTTTCTGTATCTGGCATTGCTGACAAAGGGAATGTATCGCCTACTTCTGCTGGACGAATCCATGGGCACGGGAGCTTCTAGTCATTCGCACTAAGCCCCTAGTAGGGTAGTCGGAGTTCCATCAGCCATGCATTATCTTCTTCTCCTTATCCTTCTTCCTCATCCACAACAGATCGCATCAAGTCAACTCTCATGACCCAGATTCCATGAAGTCCTCTCGGATGTCTTTTCAAGCGTAGAGAGTCAGATTCAGCTTGCTAGGCGCATTCCGCAGAGCTCAATCCCCATTGGAAAAGATATTACAGCCCGTATCAGAACACCTGTCTTTTTCTTTCTTTTTTGCTTTTGTGCATGGTCGGATCGACTTCGTCTATGTATTGTGGCCTCAATGGTAAGATGTCGATATGCAATACCTGTGCTTGTCATTTGGGTAAGTGCGAAGCAGGTCTGGCCCGTACCACGACACGACCACTGGAAAGTCATTAGTGCATCAGCGTTAGTGCAAGTAGGCGATGTAATGCCTCTGATTCTATGGGTTAATTCGCTTCTCAGAGAGTTGGAGGATACGCCAGGGCAGAGGTATGAGTTATACGCATGATACTACCTTTGTGGGTATAATGGTAAGTAGGGATACACATTAACGTCGATGGTGTAGGTACACTCAGCTGTATTTCCTTTTGTTCCGGACCGATTGCAAAGGCCAATCTAGATGTCGACTTTCTGGTAGCGCCGCATGGCGTTGAATTTAGCTCTGGAAGCTATACATACGTCATCGATCCGGTAGTGCCGAGCATCAACCATATCCAAACCTGAGGCCCTCTTTACAAAACCCTTGCTGTTACCATATCTACCACTATCAACAAACATCGCAAGGTACAGACACGATGGCACCAGGCGAAAACCTTCCCGATTTTCTCACAAACACGGAACTCGATCCCAGCTTCGACAAAGACATCCTCGACACGCATCTGATCTACGACTATGACGCGCAAGATAGCAATGGCAACCCCGAAAAATGGCGATACGAACTATGGTGTTTCTCTTCTGACCGTGTCGTCTATGCCATTCATGGTGGTCCGATGGCCGGTCGCGTGAACTACCAACGCGCAACATACCAATGCATACGCCCTGGCGAACTATGGCAGATAAACTGGCTCGAAGAGACAGGTACTATCGTCTCTGCGGTTTACGACATTAAGGAGAAAAAGATGACGACGATGATTGCATTTTCGGAAGGTCACTGGAAGAGAGCAAAGGAGGCACTGGGCGACAAGAGGAAGAAAGAGGACCTGGATAGATGGAGGGGTCTGGCCGGTGTGGGAAACCAGACTTCGAGGTTTATGCTGAGCGAACAGGCGCAAGTCGTGGAGACGTTCAAGGGAAAGGGTGAACTGGTCCCGATCAAAGAGAGTGATCCCCTGTTTTGAGTAGTATATCTTCCATGATGTCACGTCAGTAAATATGGCGGTACCGTTTGTCCTGCGTGGTGCTTCGTCTCCTTTCTTGAAGGGAATATAGAATAGCTCTGTTCTGATGCTGTTCCACGTTTACAATCGAAGTATGACGTATTCGTGGGGATCTCAGTTTTTCGCGACCATAGTACCGGTAGTTAAGTCAAAGCGACGTACCTTACATTGCAGCTTGACAGTGCGACCATCGATACGATGCTGTGGAGCACCAGTCAGTATCACAACGCAACCGAGGCGGTGAGGTTCGCAACCTGTTCGGCGTTCTGGTGCGTTGTTGCATCCTCCCCCAAGGTTCCGTTGCAACGCGATTCAACCTTCCATTTACTCACGAGTTGCGTTTCCTTCGAAGTTGGTATTTCGTGTGGGTTAGCAGCTCTTGATGATGTATGGTGGTAAATCGCAAGGACTTCTTCGTAAGTCCTTCCTTGAGCACTGCTAGTCTGATACAGAACACACGTTGCACTATGGCAACGAGAGGCGCAGGAATCAAGAGGGAATGTCTCAGCATTACTTGGCTTCAATAGGCCAGTGAACCATCTGGGTCCCAGTGAAGTCATAAGGTGCGTCCGGAGCAGCGATAGCAAGCCAATCTCATTCTTTAGTGGAACATGTGCTTGCTTTTACCAGCGCAGTGGTTCTTTGTTCTCGTGGCGGACTCGATGCTTATGATGATCGTGGTTTCCTAACAGGTTTCTGCGAGAGCCGACGATCTCTTCCATAGGGCCACAATTGAGCATTCGACGTATCTCCCCCGCGCATGTCGCAAACAAGGCGAAGACTCTTCGGGGGGCCGTCTGAGCTGGGACCGAATGGCGACTCTGGCACTTGGGGGTATTTTTGTTTATTCTTTCGATATATGCCCGCGTACTTGCCAAGCTACGCGATAGAACATAATCTCTCGCAATAACGCTAGGTGTGCGACATGTAGCCGTGCGTGAAAGGACAAAAGGATGAGAAGATGGTTTTGTTCCTCCCGTACGGCGAGCCGAAGGGGGCTGCAGCACCAGATAACGGTTGTGGGGTAGAAGCCTGTCAGCAGCCACGTTCCATGGCGACGCTCCCTGTCCAGCGCGCTTTACAGCATTCCTTCACCGCGAAACCATCTGACCCTGCGTGAGAAGTAGGTGAGGTTCGTATCGAACGTTTCAAATGCTTCGCGAAGGTGCTGGAGATCCAGGGGTCGTGGAGGCAGCGCAAGCCACAACTGTTAGTGGGGGTTCGTAAGTGGTGTGTGGGCTGGTTAGACAGAGAACAGACCGCATGTTCGGAGTCCGATGCCTGCTAAGCGCCCGCAGTCTGCTGCTGTAAGGACGGTGAGAGTCGTCATTGCGAAGCCGCAAGCGGCATGGTCTGGTCTTACGCTGAGGCAGACATGCACGAGGCGGAATAGGCGAAAGACGAAATGGTAATTTCCACTCAGGCCACGAAGGATGAAGCGAAACGGCAGCGTGTCGGCATCTTGACGCTATCACGCGGGCGGCATAACAGGTTCTCGGGACGGCCGAGGGCATGCAACTAGGCGTGCTGCAAGACTGCTCGCAGTGGAATGGCCAACATGTAGAACCACTGTTCCGATGCTGTGCCGGGGCCCTGCACATGGAGTTCCAATCTCGCATTACCCCATGCGGCTTAGACTAGCGCAGCTGCAGCTGCACCTCTATCCCATGCCACCGCAACTTGGCCCCCAGCACGCCATGTGCCACAACAGCAGAAGGTCGGTATGACAGGGTGCGGCGGGCGCGACGGGGATCCAGCGCGACCCTACTCGTCCACCTACTCCCATGGTGCTTCATCAGCTGCTGCCAGCCTGGCCACGATGACTATGCTCTTCAGCCCGTCGTCCCTCATTCCACCTGTGCCTGTATATTCCTTTTGTTCCTGCGCGACACCAGGCTGAATCACAACTCCGTTTCATTTCGACTTGCTTTTTACTCCTCGTTCTGGAACACATCGCCTTCACATCTTCGCAAACATCGTCTCAGTCAACACACATAGCCCAACCATGGGTCATCCAGCACTCACGTCACGGGAGCACCTGGAGCTTTTGAGGAGCTCTGCTTTCGAATCCGAGCACGCCTGGCTCTACGACAACTCCTATTTGCAACACGAGGCAGCGGCGTTGGCGCTGGAACAAGAGATTGAGCAGTCACATGCCAGCATATCGCCCGACGACAACTCCGACGAGCAAGTCCGCATACTCAAGACGCAGATCAACATCCACAGAGAGAGACAGAGGGCGCTGAGGCCACACCTTGAAAGTGGGAGCGATCAGGTTGACGAAGAGGGCAATGAGTGTGTCTTTGTACCAGCACCGAATCAATGGGGAGCCAACGGAGACTTGGACGAGGAGAGTGAGAGCCTATCCGCAGTGAGTAGCAAGCTCGCTCCCACGGCACTGTTGAGCCAAGCTGACATGGTTTAGATCCATAACCTCCTCACCTGGCAAACTTCCTACTCGCCTGTGTCACATGCTCCACATGACGAACTCCCTTCTCCTGACATCCCGTACCACTCGTTACTCGATCCTACACAGCCTACAACGACGTACAATCTTCACCGCACACGAGAATGGACCGGGTCTTCAGGCTTCCGGAAGTATATCTACAGCGCACGCGACTACTCGAACAAATACGCTTTGTATATGCTTGAAGCCACCCATCGCGACGACAGTCAAGTCAACGCTGCCGACTTCTTCCGCGTCGCTGAGTTCCCACAACCGTGCATATCTATCCTTCTCTCTGGCATCGACAAGAAGCGTATGGCGACTAAAGATGCTGCCTACAAATCGCGAAGCATACACCTGAAGGGCCCCTTCTCCCAACCGATTTCTGAATATCCAGATAGACAGCACAAGATTCCGTGGTCGCCACGACGCTTTAAATACGGCGGACGACGGTTCGTGTGGAAACAGGGTGATCCAAACGATGATGCAATGCCGGAGACATTGTACGAATACCAGCAAGATTGGATGAAACCTGGAAGCAGGACGGGCAAGCGATGCGACGACGCGAAGCCAATCAAACTAGTATGGGGCGAGAAGAGAAGGAAGGGCAAAGTGGACAGTTATACGATCCATTTCAGAGGTGGCATGGACCAAGTATTCAGGGAGATTCTGCTTGCAAGCCAGATGGCGCGGCAGGTATGCCTCTTTACTGCAATGGACTAAGGCGCCGTGGCACGTTGGAAGGAGGTGAAATTGTACTTGTATAACCACACAGCGAGGGGCGTTAAATGGGGCCGTATGACACGGTATGGATACCATAGAGCAGCGTTTTGGCACTTGGCTCACATTGAAGCATTTTGTTACTACTATTTACAGTATCTTGGAAGTGGATAGCAGGCTTCTCTACTACCTAGGACATATTGGGAGCCCAAGGGCGACGTTGATCAATTCAAAACTCTGATACTACTACGATACTGCAATGCGTCCTCTGCTCCTCGCGCTGCAACTGCCGGGTCAAGATGCGATTGTGAGTGATAGGTAACAGTTGTTGCATGCCTTACATCTGACTCATCCTAATAACTCCGTTGGAGCCAACAGAGGGAACTTCCGCAGCGGCGTCGCATGGTTGCATGTAAGCCGCATATGTATGCTACGCTGTAGATTGGGCCACGGCCTTGCTGACGTACGCCGTTACGGCACGCTGGGCCGGTCGAAGTTATTGGCGGATTCTGACCAGGCAAGGATCGCATTGGTAGCTTTGGAGCATTTGAGAATATCCAGGGGCATGGGTCTTGGATTGCATTGTTGGTGAATGGTGTGTTGTCTTTGCGACATGAGTTGAAGTGGGGAGCATGATGCAGACGACTACCCAGGTAGCTTAATACTCTCAGCATACAAGGCAGCTCCACACCCTGTGAAGAAGAAAAGCCAAGAAAGACGGCGGTACCAGGCTTGGGCAAAAAACAAAAGGCTCTCTGTCATGATCATTGCTTGTGAGCAACATGGAGGTGCAAGTGCTGCAGGCCACCATCACGATGACTTCATCGCAGGTCCTCCTACCATCCAGACTATCACCGATCGCGCACGCTTTTTCGCACGCATCTTCCACGGTGGGCAGTATTGCACATACCCGAGACATCTGATCCCAGTTTATCTGTCCCGTATCAAACATCGTCTACTTGGCAATCAAACGCCCCCAAGCTAGAGTCTTACGCGCGTCTTTGGCTGACGCCCATTGTTCTGCAACAGAACCGACAACCTGTTAGCTCATCTTCTCCACACGGAACAGCCGCCCGGTACCCAAAACGTCGTCTCCGCGCATCGAATCACACACTTGAGCGTGTGAAAGTGCAGGTAGACCTACCGACCAGCACGCAACAGTACCACGTGCATCGCTTACTGCGACAACTCCCAACGCTTCCATATCCGCTTCACCGTCTCTCAAGGTTCCTCCCAGAGAAAGACCCACCAGTCATGTCTTCAACGCGCAACACTGCACTGCGGGAGACAACCCACTCCTTCTGCCGCGCGTTGATATCGCCGCCTCCTCCCTCAGACCTCCTATTGCAGTACTTCAGCAATGCGCCCAAGATCACGGAGCACGGCCCTGAGTGGTCACGTTCGCGGCTACCTTTCTTAGCTAAGACCTTTTCTGGTAGAGATGGATGCGAGGAGTATTTCAAGGTGATGACTGATGTACTGGACATGTCTTTGCCCGAGGATGCATTCCCGGGAAAGGAGGGGTTCATTGTGGATGCAGAGGCGGGAATGGTAAGTGTCGTTGGTAAAGGACGATTTACAAGTAGGAAAACGGGCAAGGGATGGAACGAACAATTCATCTATAGGTTTAGTGGGTTTGATGAGCAGGGCAAGATAGGGCATTGGGAGGTCTGGGCAGATCCATTGAGTGCCTGGAACGCTGTTGGAGAGTAAACTCCATTTCCTGACGGAGATATCAGATTATACTGAATTCCGTGCAGGGTTTTTCCACGCTTAGCGTTGCGAACACATCAATCAGCGCGAAGAGACTGATATGTGAGATTCACAGACGACATGTTGCACATACGTGCTAGTGATTTTAGTGAATGGAAGACGTTAGCGCGTCCTGGATGTGGGTCCTGTCGGTGGTTTCTGCACCTTCTTCCGAAACCCTTCAACTTTTCTTCCTCGCGCTTTTGCACCTTGACACCAACTCTCCAACACCATGGCGCAAGCTCTGTAAAGCTCAACAGGGCAACCACCCTCTTCGCCAACATCTCCCCTATCTTAGACGACTAACATGTAGCTCCTATCTACAGTATTATGTTTCAGAAGGTACGTTTAACGGTTTCTTCTTATCACAGCACTCGCATAATTGCGACGTGGACACAAAGCTCAAAGATGATATACATCGACCATTAAATACTTTAGGAAGAGCCGGAAAAGGTATGGCTAGCATCGACATATGCTACGCCGTCGCTGCTTATAACTCGGTCTCTGAAGAGCATCATCATTCCTACATCATAGAATTCAGTTGTAGAACCGCTGCTGACGATGTAATGAACAGGCTACAAAATCACCTCGCGACGGCTGAAACGAAACAGGCGTCGCTGTATGACGCACAAACCAACGCGATCTTTACTCGTTGATCCATGATGGAGCCGGTTGGCAAGCAAAGGCTTGACAGGATCACATTGCAGTAGCATGAGCATGCTTAGCAGCAGTTGCATGACGCATATATCATAGAATGAATGCGCTCGCATATATGTGGATACTATGGATACTATATTCGCAGGCTACTCGACATGCTACTGCTGTCGAGCAACGCAGCAGCATCCAGCTCAAGTGTTGACACTGGTAACTCCGCCCTCTCATAGAGTTCCGACATTGCTGGCCTACCCACGAAGGCATCGGCCGGCCAGGAAATAGACTGGTCGAACGCATAGTTGTCGCTCCAAGACGCTAGGAGATTGCTCATGTTGAAGTTGAAATCGTGATGAATCGCAGACGAGTGCTCCTCGGGCACGCTGAAGTCGTTCATGTTGAGTGGACTTGAGTCTGCTCCCATATCAACTAGATCATTGAAGTCGAATGTATCCCAATCTCGCAATTGGTTCCCTTCATCTGCACTCGTCGTTGAAGCAGATATTGTGCCGGGGCTGTTGCGCTGGGCCGCAATATTCTTTGCGTATTCCTTTGGCGTCAAGCCTGTCTTGTCTTTGAAGATCTTGTGGAAGTACCGAGGCGTGAGGTTGACCTTCTTAGCTAAGTCTTGCAGTCTCAGTGAGCTGGGGTCCTCCTTCTTCAAGGCTTCGTCGATCAATACACATGCTTTCTCTACCGCTCGCTCCTGTGGATCTTCAAGTACGGTATTTGGCTTGCATCTCTTGCAGGCTCTGAACCCAGCTGCCTCAGCTTCAAACGGAGTCGCATAGAATCCAACATTTGCCCGACGCGCTAATCGTCCTGGACATGTTGGCCGGCAGTAGATCCGTGTGGATTTGACAGAGTAGATGAAATGGCCGTTTGCGTCAGCATCTCTTACTGTGAGGGCTCGCCATCGTGCAGCGTCAGTTGCGTAGGCCATGGTACAGACTCAGTATAGGTTAACTACGAAGTTAGCATGAGTCCAAGTGTTTGCGCAGTTGTGTTCAGAGCATACTTCTGCCGAGTAAACAATCTTGGGATGTTTCTGAGCGAAGAATCGTGAAATGGTGCTGATCTAACTGCAACACTACCGACTGCGGGTACTTCCTGGCTGTAATAATGAATGCAATTCTGAGGTTGACAAAATGATCGATTAGACATGTATAGTGAACTTGACCGCGGCAACGGGCCATCTTAAGAGTCGAAGTGTTCCTAGGCCCCAACGTGATGCACGCTGTGATTGGTCAATTTGAAAGCCATCTTGAGAGCTATGACGCAGGCTGACCTTACGAATCACGAACGCGTTAGTACCGTATATCGACATGCGACCCACGAGATAACGCCCACGGAAAATGTAACATTCATGAGTAGCATCATGGCGCGCGCAAGGTACGAGGCACGTCGCTCTTTCCGCCTCGAGCCCAGCTTGTGGAAGAGGTAGGCACGATGAAGACACTCACCGGGGGCTCTCCAAACCACAGGTCTCACTCAGTTTTAATTACATTGCACAAATGAGACCTTCGCACCATCATCCTCACAACTAACGGTATGTCGGAGGGCCCTGAAATCGTTGCTGTACCCGGCATCGCGGCGCTTTCATCAATAGCAGCGAGACAGATTGGTGCCGGGCAGGTCCTTGTTGACCCCAGTTCTGTCGTCAAAGAGCTCATTGATAATGCTCTGGATGCGCGGGCAAAGAGCATCTTTGTGGACATTACTGCCAACACAATCGACTCTATCCAAGTCAAGGATGACGGCCATGGCATACCAGCTCAAGACCGCCCTCTTGCATGCCGGCGCTCCTGTACCAGCAAGATTAGAGACTTTCGCGATCTGAAAGGCGTCGGAGGTAAATGGCTTGGCTTTCGTGGCGAGGCACTCTCAAGCATGGCTGAGATGAGCAGCTCGCTGTGCATCACCACTCGGGTAGAGGGTGAGCCGGTCGCTGTGAAGCTCAAATACGGTCGTGACGGTGAGCTTACTTCGTAAGATGCCCATTGGTGCTTGCGCAAGAAACTATCAGTACTAAACCATACAGTGTGGAACATGACTCTCACCCTATTGGCACGACAGTCAAAGTTACCAAGTTCCTTGACTTCATACCTGTTCGAAAGCAAACAGCGAGCAAGAATTCAGCGAACTTGCTAGCGAAGATTCGGCGACTCATGCAGGCCTATGCGCTTGCCAGACCAACCACACGATTCAGACTCCGCGTGTTGAAAGCGAAGAACAACAACGGTGACTTCGTTTATGCCCCGAAGGCCGATGGGAATGTTGAAGACGCAACTCTGAAAGTGATTGGCAAGAATTGCGCTCTACAGTGCGACTGGACTGTTCTGGAAGCAGATGGCTTCGAAGTTCACGCTTTCTTACCCAAGCCAGGTGCGACTGGACCAAAGATAGCTCATCAAGGAACCTTCATCTCGATCGACGCAAGACCTGTATCGAGCAGTCGCGGTACCATGAAGCAGATCGTTGCAGCTTACAAAGACCGACTCCGCAAGTCAAACCCTTCACTCGCCGGTATCAAAGATCCATTCTTCTGCTTGAATATCATTTGTCCGCCTGACAGCTATGATCCCAACATCGAGCCCGCTAAAGACGATGTCATGTTCGATAATAGCAATGTGGTTATTGGCGTTGTGGACAAATTGCTCAAAGCCTATTATCCCGAGGCATCTCAAGAGGCTCGGGATGCTGAACCTCCAACATCTGCACAACAACAGTATGAAAATCAGCCCAGGCAACGAACAACAAGTTCCACCGAAAGCCCGATCATAGCTCATGAACACACGTCTACTAGCGCGATCGAGGAACCTCCGGCCACTACGACGCAAGCGCAGCCACGTTGGAGGTCAAGCATGTATGGGATCGACGAAGATGATCTACAGTTTCTGCAAGAAGACCATACACCGGTAATTGAAGAAGAGGAAGGAATTCGTGCGGCTGAGATTTCTAATCCGTGGACTATCGCTCGAATGAATGCCAGAGTTAAGCCCAAGCAGTCCTCCAGCCATGAACAACTGTTAAGTCCAGCTAAAAGCCAAGAATATGCCAACTCATATTCTGGTTCTTCCAGTCCTATTGTCACTCCCAATCGGCCTCGCTCGACGTTGCCTTTGACCCCTCAAACATTGTCAAAGACGAATGTAGTGAGATCTCCACTGGACGCAGAACTAGAGCCTAGTATCCAGCACGTATCGCAGGCGAGTTCAGAAATCAATACCTTGGACAACATCACACAAGAGAGAGTGACAGGTAAAGAGCGTCGTTACGAGTTCAATATCTCTCCTTTCCACACTGGCATGTCGAATCACTTCACGCAACGTGAGATTCATCCAAAAGACTTAGAGGTACGAAGCTTCAGTCAGTCAGTTACTAGTCCGCAAAATATGACTCCTCCGGGATCTTCAGCTCCTCGCAGGCGTCGTGCTCAACAGACCTATGCAAACAAGCCATTTGCACCACTAATTCGGGGATCGCATGATACCGTGCTGAGAAAGTCTTTACCTGGCACACAAGCTTTCCAACAAGCTCGTAATCAGCATGGGACATTTAACCAAGGGCTACGACCTTCTGCCACCACTTCGTCGGCATCACGCAAATCTATCCCAAATTCAGTTGAGAGTACGATCCAAAATCAACTTAATTCGATCAACAATAGCGATATCCGTGACTTCTTCGGCTGTAATGCACAGCGAAAACCGCCAATGAGCCCAGGACACGTTCCAGAAGCTGTGCTTTCCCGAGCTTCCTCAGCGGAACCACAGCCCTGTTCAAAACACGTTAGAGATGGTCTAATGTTTGATGATGACCGTGGAACGGATATCAATCTAAGCAGGTCGATTGACAAGTACCGACCATTATCTGTAGGAAGTCAGATGCCTATGGTATTTGACCAGCGATCGGTCGGTGATAGAGATGCTCAAGGTGTGTTTAACGAAAAAGGGAGTAAGCTGGAGCCGTGCAGCGCAACCCGCCAGTTCCAGATTCACGATTACGCCTTCCCTTACTCGCCTACTCCTAGGTCTTTTGATACCCGAAGTGACCATCCCCTCATTCCTCTGGAGTTCAGCCGGGTAGCAGCCACTGAGGACGCACATCGTCACGACAATAATGCCAAGGACATGGAGGCATACTTTAGGTCACAAGAAAAGCAGCACGTCAACTCTCTATTACACGCCAAAAATCCTTCTCAAAGACAGGAACCTCACACAGTCCCACCCTACGAAGCCCCGAGCAAGACACTTCGTCCCAGACGTCGCACAATCGACGCCCTCGAGCGAACAAAGTCCTCTAGACTACCGCTTGAGCGCATACCTAAAGGTTTCAACATCCAAGATCTAATCTTGCCCCTTCCCATGAATATCCGCACTGTCCTACAACACTGTCATAAACTGGACATGCGACGCAACAGCCTAGAGTGGGGGTACCCAGCCGAAGGTGTATACGACAACTTTGCTGAGCCAGTGTTGAAGCAGAAAATCTTGGAGTGGGTAACCAAGCTTGATGCACTGTTGTGTAAGCGGTATGAGAGGATTGGTGGCGCAGATACGAGGCGTGAGATACAGGAAGGTATTCAGCGGGTGCTTGATACGAGGAAAGAGTTAGGTGATGCCATACCTAGGGTTGTGAGTGTGGGTCAGGATACAGTGGATGATGCGGTTAGGGTATCAGATGAGCATGTCTTCCCAGGCGATGGCAAGGTTACTAGTTCCATCGTTCGGCAGCAGGCTGTGGAACCTGAGAGGAAGGCAGATGATGAGTTCGATTTCGACATGGAACAATATATTGATCTGACAGCGGATAACGAGAGGCAGATCACAGGGACAGCTAGCGAGGGGAGCATAGAGGTGGCAAAGAGTGAATACGACGAAGATGTCGAGGATGAGATGTTGATGGATCTATGAGAAAAGTGGAGGAAGCGATGGAAAGGGCGAGTCAGACCCGGCCCTGACTCTAGCACCGCAACGGAGTAACATATCCTACTCAGTAGATAGTGGTATCAAAAGGCACGTTTATAAAAGGTCAGATGTTGCAAACTGCGAAGGCTGCCACTGCGCGCGCCACACTTTGATGACACAACATCATCATGGCTCATGTTGTCCAACATCGTTTGTCAACCTCCCTTTCGTGTCCACAGCACCGAGCTCTATATTTGCCTAAAAGCAACTTCCTCGGGCAATCTAAAACTTGCACAAAACATCCTCTTCTTAGGCGCTACGTCCCTTACATCATGTATATACACATCCTCCATATCCGGTGTGATGGTTGTACTCAACTGCCTGCTAACCTCGTCGCAGATACCCTTGATCTCCTCTACGTTGTCGTCGCTCTTTGTAGAGAAGCAGTGTACGTGGATCATGGGCAGCTTCTGGGAAGTGTGCGGTGCGAGGAGTTTCTTGATATCAGCAGCGGAGTGGCCAGGGACGTTGGCGTAGAGACCGATGAAGGAGGGGAGGAAAGTGATGGCAGAGGCGGGCAGGTTCATGACGTAGTGTGAGAAGAAGCGTGGCTGAACAAGCGTCTTGAGGGGCTCTGGTTGTTTATTCTCTTCTGGTTTGCTGCGAGAGAATTTTGTCTTGGGATAGATGGCGACGGAATGCTCGTCGCTGGTCAACAGATCGGCCGATGCTTGACGAATGAAAGCTCCACCATCGGTGTTGAAGGAACGGACAAAGTCACCTACTTTGTTGATCTTGATGTTTCCGACGAGCGAGTTGTAGGATTCGGGGTTCAGGTCATTGGCCCAGACGAAACACTTCTTCTTTCCAGCTGGTATGGCAAAGGGTCCCACGCCGGCCATGACGTCGCACACTGCCTCGCCTTCACGGAACATGTTGCAGAGGCGCTCGTGCTCGGTGTGTAGACGTGTGTTCCAGTACACTTTTGCAAAGTCGAATTTGAAAGTACAGCCTTGCTCGCGCAGTTCGACGTTCATGTCATCTGGTCCGTGGAGCACTTCGTACTGGAAGGTGCGGAAGGCATTCTCGGTGCCTACGTTATCAAGCTTGTTGATGACAGTCTTGACCATGGGGTTCTTGTCCACAAGGACAGTCCCGATGAGGTGTTTGTAGGGCCAGTATCGTTCGCGGAGGTTCAGGTGGGCGACATGACCAGCGAGGGCAAAGCCCTGGGGTATCTCGTCGTCGTGTACGGATTCGGGCGGGGGAATGATGGCACTCGTTATCTCCGAGTAAGTGAAGTAGTCGTAATCGAGCTGCAGCTGGTAGGGTATCACGCCCAGTGTACCGTCTTGCTCAAGGCTCTGTAGCTTAGGGGACCATGTCGTCCGATCTGCCTGGTTTCAGACTCAGTACTTCCATGTACTACCACCACGCTGTGACTCACCACCATGGACAATTTCTGGTCGCAGAAGCAGGCATTTTGTTCCTTTGGTCGCTCTTTCCGGATCGGGGTCAGCTCTTATAGGGTCCACCCGATTGTTTGGGAGCGTGTCCTTGCTGGCGGTGAGTTCCTTGCGGCATCGCGATATGTCTTTGGGGTTGAAGATGCGGGCAGCCGAGGTGGGGATGGTCTTTTGGAAGAAGCTGCGATCCAGCACCTTCATGGCGCGGTTCACGGGCGGCGCGAACATGTCGTTGGTCGCTTCTGTCGCCGACATTGGATTGTGCGCGTTGAACGGGTGTCGCGTGCCTTGGCGTGGTTTTGTCGCGGTCGTGAATTATTATTATTTTTGGTGAGGAATGACGCACTGCGCAGGCAGAGTTAGGGTCCCCAGCATTCCACATGCCAGGTACCGACCCGTTCTGGAGCTGCCCCTCGACAAGTGGAAAGCGTGCCTGGCAGAAGACGTGCCATCGGCAGCTTCATCTTTGTAATATATGTTTAACTGTTGGCACAAGTGTCAGTGTCTCTGAACCGTGTCAGGGTCCCACTGCACGACAGCCAGCATTCAAGTCCAAGCGCATTAGTGGGCTGCAGGGATCGAGGACTCGTGCCAGGATCGCGTACCTAATCTTGAGCAGTTGGTGGTTAATGAGCAAAACAACAAATACTCTTGCACCACAACACCACCCCCTGAGCCGCGAACACGCCCGACCAAGCCCGTTCGCCGTCGTCGCCGCCCATGAAGTCTCCCAGATTCCGCGTCTGACCGCTGCATAGACCGAGCGCCCCGTTGCCATCTCCTTTCTCCGAGTACCCCGGATTTCCCAGGAATTAAGTTACCGCACCCATCATGGCGTCTGGCGGAGGGAACATCAAGGTCGTGGTGCGATGCAGGCCCTTCAACGGCCGAGGTAGGCTTCACTTGGATCCAGGCAAGGCTGCGACTAACAGGGCGCAGAAAAGGCGCGCAATGCACAGTGTATCGTGCAGATGAAGGGCGACCAGACCATCCTCTCTCCCCCATCACACGCCGACGTCAAAGGAAAAGCCGCCAAAGCCGCCGCTGAAGGCACCAAGACGTTCGCATTCGACAGGTCGTACTGGTCCTTTGACCGCGACGCTCCCAACTATGCGGGCCAGGACAACCTACACGAAGACCTGGGCAAGCCGCTGCTCGACAATGCCTTCCAGGGATACAACAACTGTATTTTCGCCTATGGTCAGACGGGTTCAGGAAAGTCGTACTCCATGATGGGCTATGGCGCCGAGTACGGAATCATCCCCAAGATTTGCCAGGACATGTTTGAGAGAATCAAGGGATTGCAAGCAGACAAGAACTCCTCGTGCACCGTCGAAGTCTCGTATTTGGAAATCTACAACGAGCGCGTGCGCGATCTGCTGAATCCATCCAACAAGGGAAATCTACGAGTTCGAGAGCATCCATCCACCGGTCCCTATGTCGAAGATCTGGCCAAACTCGTCGTTCAGTCCTTCCCCGAAATCGAGAACCTCATGGACGAAGGAAACAAGGCTCGTACTGTGGCTGCAACCAACATGAACGAGACGTCCTCCCGATCGCACGCCGTCTTTACCCTTACCCTCACCCAGAAGCGCCACGATGTCGAGACAAGCATGAGCGGGGAGAGGGTGGCCAAGATTAGTCTGGTCGATTTGGCTGGATCAGAACGAGCGCAATCCACTGGTGCAACTGGTGCAAGATTGAAGGAGGGCGCAGAGATCAACAGGTCACTATCCACGCTGGGTCGTGTCATTGCAGCGCTTGCAGATCAGTCATCGGGAGGGAAGAAGAAGACACAAGTGCCGTATCGAGACTCTATCCTAACATGGCTCCTGAAAGACTCATTAGGAGGAAACAGTATGACTGCTATGATTGCCGCCATCTCTCCCGCCGACATTAATTTTGAGGAGACACTTTCGACCCTCCGCTACGCCGATTCCGCCAAACGCATCAAGAACCACGCTGTCGTGAACGAGGACCCCAACGCGCGCATGATCAGAGAACTCAAGGAAGAGCTTTCAAAACTGCGGTCCCAGCTAGGCGGAGGAGGGGGCGGGGGTGCCGGAGGAAACGGCGTCGTGGAAGAGCAATATGCACCCGACACACCGCTGGAAAAGCAAATCGTTTCTATTACACAAGCAGACGGTTCGATCAAGAAAGTCTCCAAAGCTGAAATTGCTGAGCAGCTTGATCAATCCGAAAAACTCTACACCGAGTTGAACCAAACCTGGGAAGAGAAACTGCAAAAGACAGAAGAGATCCACAAAGAGCGGGAGGCTGCGCTGGAGGAGCTTGGCATCAGTATTGAAAAGGGTTTTGTTGGCCTATCAACACCCAAGAACATGCCTCATTTGGTCAACTTGAGCGATGATCCACTCTTGACTGAATGTCTTGTCTACAATTTGAAACCAGGGACAACGACCGTAGGCAATTCTGACGTCGAAAACCAGACTGCTCAAATACGTCTGAATGGTTCACAAATTCTTGCAGAACACTGTCACTTCGAAAACGTGGACGGCAAGGTGACTGTGATACCCCAGGAAACCGCCAGTGTCATGGTCAATGGCGTACGCATCGATAAGCCAAGGTTACTCAAGAGCGGTCACCGCATCATCCTCGGCGACTTCCACATCTTCCGCTTCAACAACCCACAAGAGGCAAGAGCTGAGCGTGCTGAAGTAGGCACAAGCCTACTCCGCCAGACGGTTACTGCCAGCCAGCTCAACTCTCCTTCGCCTGCACCAAGACCCGGTCACGACAGATCGTACAGCGCCATCAGCATAGCAAACTCCGATTTCGACCCCGATAGTCCCAGAGCAGGATCGCCTGCATTCTGGCAACGCGGTCGTGAGTCCGAATTCTCTTACGCACGCAGAGAGGCTCTTACCGCCTGGCTCGGGCCTGATAAACGGATCGAGAACCTTCCAGACGAGGACTTTGAAGCACTATTCGAGGATCTCAGCAGGTTGCGCGAAACCCGCAAAGCCCGTCCTGAGAGTAGGATATTCAGTGACGAAGATACAGAGTCAATGTCGTCGTATCCTGTACGAGAGAAGTATGCCTCTGGAGGGACACTGGATAACTTCTCGCTCGACACCATGTTGACGATGCCGTCCACGCCGAGGCAAGACGGCAGTGAAAAGATGGAAGAGATAAGAGAAGACATGGAAGACCTGATAGACGAAAAGAAGGGGGAGTACAGTGCGAAAATGAAGGCTGATGCAGAAGCCAAAGTTGAGTTGGAACAGCTGCGGGCTGCGAAAGAAGAGATGCAGAAGCAATTACAACAGCAACAAGAGGCTTTTGCGCGCCAAATGAAAGAGCTTGGGCACGAATGGGTACCCGAGAGCGTACCCGAGAGTAATGGAGCCTCTGAGGTCGGAACAATACCCGGAAACACCGAGCAGAATGAACAGCAACTAGAGTTGATCCGGACAGTGTTCAGACAGTGGCGGCGAAGAAAGTATGTCACTATGGCGGAGACGCTTCTGCAGAACGCAGCTATCCTAAAGGAAGCTCAAGTCATGAGCCAACAGATGGACAAGCACGTGGTTTTCCAATTCTGTATTGTCGACGTCGGCCATACTGTTCCGTCATCTTACGACTTAGTCAACATGGGCATCCCCGGCGAAGACGACGAACACCTCGACAGCCAGTCTAAGCCATGTGTTGGTGTTCGTGTCATCGACTTCAAGAAGGAAGTGGTGCATTTGTGGTCATTGCAGAAGCTCCGCGATCGCGTACGACGGATGCATCAAATGCATCAGTATATGAACCGACCAGAATACTTTCAGCACTTTAACCCTGAGTCGCCATTCTCCGAACCCTGTATGCCCGAGTTCTCGCGCATTGGCGATGTGGACGTTCCGCTTGCTGCTGTGTTCGAGTCTAGAGTACGAGACTTTAGTCTAGATGTCATCTCTCCTTACACAGCGAACCCTATTGGTATCATCCGGCTATCGCTAGAGCCTTCCTCTGCGGAGGCTCCCTCTACTACGCTGAAGTTCAATGTTGGTATGCATGAACTTGTTGGGTTTCCAGAACGAGAAGGCACTCAAGTCCATGCTGTACTCTTCGTCCCCGGTATCTCTGACGAGAGTGGAGCGACGACCACAACCTGGATCACCGATTTTAACGAAGGGCCTATCCGCTTTGAGAGTGTACACAGTATGAGCCTTCCCTACCCAAGCCCGCGTGAGACCTTCCTTCGAATCTCTATCTTCGCGAAGGTCACCGACATCCACCTCGATAAGCTTCTGAGCTGGGATGATATGCGCGACTCTGCAGAAAAACCCAAGCAAAAGCGCCGTCATGCGCGATTGCCAGAGTCGGAGTTTTACACAGAGGATACACATGACATCTTCTCACGCATCCAGATACAAGAAATCACGGACGATGGGACCTACCAGCCTGTTGAGGTAACACAAAGCAACGTTACGGACGCCGGGGTATACCAACTTCACCAAGGTCTTGCGCGTCGCATTGTTGTCAACCTTACACACACTTCTGGAGATACAATTCAGTGGGAGGATGTAAAGTCGGTACGCATGGGTCACATTCGAATGGTCGACGCAGCTGGCAACAGTCCCAACTACGGCTCACCTGTGAAGGAAGTACCTGTCGATCTCATCTCCCCACCCGTCATTCGGAAGAACGCCGATGGCACCACGAATGTCAAATTTGTAGGACGATGGGACAGCACGGCTCACGCGTCACAAATACTAGATCGCGCGACAAAGGACAACTTCCGCGTCAAGGTCACGCTCCTCTTCGACGTCACATCCTCCAAACTTATCGAACCGATGTCCTTCTCTTTCGACCTTTTCGTACAGATTCGAGGCCGCTCGTATATGCGCCAAACGTCACTCTTCTCTTTGGCCAGTATCTGGAATACCGTGAAAGTTGTTCACTCGACAGTAGGAATCTTCAATGTCGCAATCCGTCCCACATCTGTCAAGCGTGCGACAGACCTCTGGCGCATGAACACAAAAGACGACTATGTAAAGGGCGAAGAACAGCTCTCGGGCTGGACACCTCGTGGTGTCTCTTTGGTACGCGACTTCATCGATGTTGAGAAGCGCCGCGCTCGCATCGCAGATATAGAAACGGCGCGTTCCGTCTTGTCGTCGAAGGCACTGAGCATACCCACTTCCGCACTTGCTTCCAACAAGGACAAGCCCTTAGAAGACGCTCAGATAGCACTTCTGCAACGCATGATTTCACTCTGGAAAACCAAGAAAGCTCCGGCAGAGATCATACTCAACCCCACAAACCTTGAGCCACCCGTCAATGGCGCCGCCTTCGCGTCACGCTCTTCTTCTCCGTCGCCAAACCCAACACCTAGCTTAACAGCTACCGTCCGGTTCATTAGCAAAAATCCGAATCTCATGAAAGCGTCCTATCTCCTCACTCCGGATCCAACGAACACGCGCTGGATCCGGCGATACGTTGAGCTGCGAAAGCCTTATCTCCACATCTATTCATCAGATGGCGACGAAATCAATGCCATTAATGTCAGCACCGCGCGCATTGATCATTCGCCGCAGATTGCGAAACTACTTGGAGGCGGACAGCAAAGTAACGGACAAGGAAATGCTGGCGTGCACAAGGACGTTGTCTTTGCCGTCTTTGCCAGAAGCAATACTTATATCTTCCGAGCGAGAAGTGAGAGGGAAAAGATTGAGTGGATATTACGATTGGATCAAAGTTACTTCAGCAGCGAGGGTAGTGAGGCGTCGTCGTAAGGGCACAAGAGTATCTGGCCGGAAAAATAATATTTAGACACGAAGCGCCATGTGAGAGGTTTCTAATTCTTGTGTCTAAGTTGTAAAACAGTAGAAGATGGTCGATTGGGATATTGTTCCTGTCTTATTCCTTCTTTGGCGTTGCAGTTGGGCTTTTTTATAGCTTTTCTTGGGATACCCAGAGCATAGTTGATGCTCGTCTTGCGCGATTATTTAGCGTAGAGATTATATCAATTCAGCTTCATTGCTGCACGGCAATCCTACTCTGATCAGCGCTGACGATCCTCATTACCCAGTCTGCTCGACTTGCTGTTCGCAATAACTGCGCCTTGTCGTAGATCCCGCCCCGCAAGCACCGACTAGCTCGTTCCCAGAACCCCTCATACGCGACTTCCCGAGGCTAACCTCTAGATCGACACAACTTACTCGAACAACACTACGATCTCCAATGCACAATTTTAGAACCACAATGCATCTCGTGTTTCCACCTGGATTCACCTGTATAATTGGATCTGAGAGATAAAGAAAGCAGAAGTTGGCTCACCATGGCTAATACACAGAAAGAGAAGACGCAGCATGATCTGGACGACGTAAAGCTTGGATCATATCTACAGCAAGAGATACCCAATCTGCAGACACCTGTGATATCGACAAAGATTGGATATGGACAGAGCAACCCGACATACTTTGTCGACGATGCCTCTGGTACACGCTATATCCTCCGGAAGAAACCCAGCGGGACTATCATCTCACCTGTCGCGCACCAAGTCGATCGAGAATACAAGGTATTGAAAGCACTCGGAACAGTGGAGGGTTTCCCTGTACCAAAAGTATACTGTCTATGTATGGATCCTTCAATCATCGGAACTGCTTTTTACGTACGTCCCATTCTCTTTTCATCTTTCATCTCTTCCATCTAACATGTACTGGTAAACAGATCATGGAGTTTGTGAAAGGCCGCATAATAACGGACCCCAATCTCTCCACCCTCCCTCTCTCAGACCGCTGCGCCGCGTGGAAGTCCGTCATATCTACCCTAGCCTGGCTCCACTCCATCAACCCAGACACCATCGGTCTATCAACCTTTGGCAAGAAAACCGATTTCTACGCCCGCCATTGCAACACTTTCTCCCGTATCGAAGCTCAACAAGCTCAAGTCCGCGATGTCGCTACTAACCAACAACTTGGCCGTGCACATCCCCACTTCGACGAGATCGTGGCCTATATACGAAGTCATCTACCCAGCGAGCGCACTTGCATTATCCATGGGGACTACAAGTTTGACAATATCATCCTGCATCCTACGGAGCCCAGGGTCATTGCTGTGCTAGATTGGGAACTGAGTACGTTGGGGCATCCGCTTATGGATGTTGTGTATGTGACTGGTCCGTATTGGAATCGGGCTAGTAAGAGTGGAATTCCTGGAGGGCCTACGGTACAGCAGGTGGTGAGAGATGATCAAGGAGGTGACGTCTATGACGAGGAGAATCTAGCAGAGAACGGTTTGCCAAGGATGGGGGGGCTGCTGGATGTGTATGAGCAGAAGGCGGGTTGGGATCCCAGAAGGGATAAATGGGACATCGCGAGGGTTTTTCACTTGATGAGGGTAAGTGTCTGGACTTGTCTTGTTTTGTTCTTGTATGATGAGGTGGATGTACTTCAACGTTACGATGTATGGCTCGAAAGCAGAAAATACATCATGCTAATGCTGCTCCAGGGAAGTGTGATAAGCCACGGTATCCAAGCAAGGACCATCAGTGGTCAAGCCAGCAGCTCTTTCTCCCACGTATACTTTGAGAACACCAAACGAGGACTGGACGAAGCGCTGCGACTAGTGAGACAGATAAAAGATCGAGAGACACCAAAGAGCTCGCTGTAGAACGATAGACGTCATGAAATATCGAACGTCATCCGCGTCACAGATATTACGCGTCAAGCGTCTCGGAGCGTTGGTCGACTTGACGAGTCCATAGGTACCATACAACACGCATACACTGATCTACATCTCCACTTTCCCCAATTCCCCATCGACTCTCCATCTTCCATACACTTCAACCCCACTGTGCTGTTAGAGACGTTCCCCACTCAGTCCACTCCATGGACGTCTTTTCTTGCTCGCCAAGCCCGCATCGAATCTTATCCGGTCGCGATATACACACACGCATTGTAGCAACACAGTCCTTTCCGTTCCGCTCCGGTACGCATCGCCGTCCCCAATCGCATCTCAAGCGTGGTCCAGATCAGGACAAACCAAGCCTTCACTTGAATCACCAAGATATCTTTTTCACGAACCAAGTACCAACCAAGACCGTCTTGGCTTCTGTGCATCAAACAAAAGAAGTCCGCACAGCGCAACGCACAGACCATTAGCGGAAGTTTCTCCGCCTCCTGGTCTGGTCCGCCATTGGCTCAAAAGGGGGGAGGTACGTGTCAGAGATGATGAAGTTCCGCCAAGGTGGCCAAGCTTTTCACAATAATCCTCGGAGGTCGGAGGTTGTAATGCTGGCGCGGCCACTAGTATGTGAGACTGTTGAGGTGTTTCATGCAGTGTGTTATCTGCCGTTTTAATTGTCTATGTGCTTGTCAGCCTTGTTTTACGCGGAGTGAGAGCGGAGATGTGATGAGATGGGGTTGTGATGATGATTTTCTGGGGAAGGGGTCTTCGAGGTAGTGAGGGCCAGATCATGGTTCATGGAGAAGAGCTGCGGAATGAGCATGACGAAAAAAAGAGAAAGCACCAAAATTGGTGGGAAAGAGCAACAAACGCGCGCATGCATTCGAACATTGTTTGTGGATCTATATGAATTGGACGTTCTATATGCCCATCAAAGTGCAGTGCGCAACTTCAAATCATTGCCCATGGTATCTGTTGCCCCTTCCCAATTTTTTTACGCCGACGCTATGCAAAAGCTGATAGGAAAAGGATAAACTTGAAATACAAAGACTGAGATTGAGATGGTGCATTACAAGTTGTTCTGTTGTCGCGCCCTAGGTCTAATGCTTGGAATCGATGGTGGAGTGTGATCTATAAGGGCAGAAGCGTTGAGACCTGCTGGCGGCTTCTGAGGGGAGAAGGCAAGAAGCGGTGGCGAGAACAGAGAGGATAAAACATGGGGTATAAAGGAGCGTGATGCTTTTGGCTCACGTGAGGCGTATACGTGGTTGTACAACGAGTGATAGAATCAGACCGGAAGAGAAAACGCCGTGAAAATAAGTTGACAGCAGAGATCGCACGGCGTGAGGCGAAAGTGCCGAGATCACTGTATTTTGGTGCTTAGTGATCGGCAATGTCTTCGTCCATGCCGGGATAGATGATATCTGCCACGTAGACCGCCTGAACGTGTTTGAACAGGACGAAGAACCACATGGTGATAACAGCGATCGTAAGACCGTTCCCAACATAGAGCACCGTCTCATCTTTTAGGGAGTTGCCAATGGAGATGGTAGCGATGACGAAACCGGTGTTGGGGAAGACCATAGCCCACCATCCGAGATGGAAGTAAACAGCCCAGGAGTTGATGACCTGAAAACGATGTTAGTAATTGATAGGAATGTGGTGTTGTAGCAAACTTACAGCGATAAGAGTGACCATGAAGAACCACATAGCCAATACCCAAAGGAAAAGCGCGACAATTAGAGCCAGAGTCCTGAGTAGCTTGGCATCGACGAGGCCGTCTCCCTGCAAATCGAAGTCGTCAGGGAGGGCGTTGGCCATACCAATCAAAGCCAAGCAGGTGAAAGAAGGCGGGCCGACAGCGATGAACATGGCTCCTCGATGCTCACGATCGGGGTACCCGACCTGCATAAGACGGCCAATGTAATGCGCGTACATGAGAATAGCTACCGTGAATCCAAGACCCTGGCATCCAAGTCCTGCAACCAGAATCGGCATTCTGGCAGACACAGGCTGTGAAGCGGCAATGGTCGACGCAATCGTACCCGAAAGCATGATAGGGAAGATAGGTAGAAGCCACGAAGGCATGAAGCTGGTGAGCTTGTATGTATGGTGGCAAAAGAGGAACGAGTATTGGAAGCTAGCCAGACAGAAAGCGAAGAAAGTGTAGGCCCAGAATGCAACCGCCATTGTGGTGACTGCCCAAGCTCGGTTTGGATGATCCGCTTCGTAAGCTTCTATGACGTATTTCTGAGTACCGGTAATGATCGTAGCGATGGAAAGAAAGAATGGTCCGAGGAAGAGGCCTTCACGTTCGTGGGTGATAGAGGCTTTGAAGGATCCAGCATACTTGGTAAAACGAAGAACCATGGTCATTGTTACAGCAGTAAACAGCATGAGGTTGAGGATGTAGAAAACGGCACCGATAGTGATAAGACCAGGGAAGGAATGGGGCTGGATAGCGATGAGCGTACCAAGACCACCCGTGGCCATGGTCAGGGTGTAGTTCGCCCATGTGTAGTGCCTGATTCGCTCTCCAAAGGTAAGATATGGCTGATTAGGGTCCTTCCTGCCAGGAATCTTAGTGTGCTTGTCCCATCCTGAGTGGCCATCGTCGTGCTTGTGTTTCTCCAGATCGACGTCGTCCATTGGTGGCGGAGACTGGAGAGCTGGGTCTCTGAAGGGGTTCTCTGGCTGTTGTGGCCTTTCCTTCGTATCGATACGGTACCCATTGGCGTCGACTGGGCCGGGGAAGTAGCCTGCGTCAGAAGCGTACATTGGCGCTGGAGTTTGCGTTGCTGGCGTGTTGTTCGCCCATGTGTTGGTGCGAGTGGTCTCTCCAGACTGGAATGGGAACTGGCTCTGTTGAGGTGCGACAGGTTGAGGCTGGTACTGGTTCGATTGTAGCTGTTGCTGTTGCTGCTCTAGTGGCTGTTGCTGCTGCTGAGGGTTGGACAAGCGGGAGTAGTTGTTTACATCCCGGCTTGACTGAGGCGAGTGCTGGGATTGACGAGGTCCAGAAGGCAGTCCATATTGGCCTTGCTGCTGGGGAGTCTGCATACGAGGACCCGAAGGTAGGCCATACTGGCTCAGTTGCTGTGGTTGAGGTGTATATTGGGATTGTTGTTGCTGGTCGGAAGCGAGAGGGAATCGTCCATTCTCGAAATTAGGGCTGAAATTGTCCTTTGTGCCAAAGGACAAACCTTCTGGTTGGTAGCGAGTATCCATTGTGAAGTGAGAGAATAGGTGGCCTGCACCGTAAGAAGACTAAAAGATGGACGTGACGGCAGATAAAGGAAATAAACCGAAAGAAACTATGACCACAAAACGCGCAATAGGGACAAGTATTGACCTGCACGGGGCAATTTGATAGAAACCCAAGAGGCGATGCTCGGGATTACACCAGTGTATTAACACGCGCCGAGCGGGATCAACATGGGGCTGTCTCTTTACTATCGGTCCTGTTTCGAACGGCGTGCCAGCCTAGCGCCAAAGGCCTCTGGCAGCTAGTCAGAGAGGCTCCTAGGAGTAATGGTGGGATCTCAGAGTGCTTGGCGAGGACGAAGTGTTGCGTATGTCCTCCTGGTATCCACATCAAAGCGTCGAATAAGCTCCGGGCTGCAGCCAACGCACGTGCTGCTAGATAACGACCTGAGGTCGTCTTCGCTTCATCTAGTCCCAGGAATGGAAACTCCACCTTGGCAGTGCACGATGCGCCAAGACGTTTGACCTAGCTTCCGTCGCTTAGCACATTCAAGACGAATGCTTATCGCATTCTTTGATCTGCACCGTGGCTATGTTGCTTGCGTACCTCGTGGATAACTTAATGTATGCCGGACGATTCTCGTCTGTTGAATCCACTCAGTGTCGATACGGCGATTTCCACGTCGTATGAGTATACGGGGGTGCCCTTTCTTACACCATGTCTGTCATATGGAAACATTTTACAACTCATATCTCTAGGGTCTAGAGCAAACCTGACGCATCGCTTCAAGAGCAACAGGACCGAATCGCTCTGACACAGCATCGGCTTCGCGCCGCGGAGCAGGGTGAGTCCCTTGGACTTCAGAGAACCCCTGGTCGGCTGGCTGGCGGTCTCCAATTTGGATCACCATGAGATGGTGCGGTCCGGGATCCTCCGAATTGGCCAGGGTATTTCCTAAGCGCGGAACGTGGGCAACGAGAAAATAAGATGCGGCTCAAGCTGTTGAGCGGCGGTGATTCGTGGTCCAAAAAGGGGCGTCGAAACGGATGACGAAACGCTTAAAGCGGAGCCCGTTGCGTCGGCTTTGATGCCAAGCATCCCGCGCAAGACGCACCAAAACAAGGGGCCACCGTTTCGCAGCCCGAAGAAGCCACAACCGCATACTAGAACAGAGATAAGGTTGAGGAAGTTTGACACCGGCGGCACTTGATGCTTGTGGGCGCTCGAACCTTGTCGGGCCAAGATCGTCGCGACAAAATCTCGAAGTCGTCTCAACAATGCCAGAAACCTCGCCCAAGATCCACTCTGGTGTTTGACTCTGCTTCGGCCAAGGCTAAGCCTTAGGCAAAAAGCCTATCTTAACCCATCGACTTCTCGAAAAAGCGCCGGGCCCCCACGTGCGTTCGAGAAGCCTGCCTATAGAGTTGATGCTGCCACGCAAGGTGAGCGCGTACAAGCTTGGAGGTTGCTTGGAGAGAGGGGCTACTCATTGTTCAATTCGATGTAAACCTTCAAAGTTAATCATCGCCATGGCTCCGTCGCAGGTGGATAACATGCACTGCTTCGCGTACGGTGGGTCTGTGATGAAGAGGTGCTTTCTGGGCGTGGGCGGTGCATTCTCAACGCCTTCTCAAATTCGTGCCACCAATCGGACCGTGATCCAGTGTTCGAGGCAGTGCTGTCGATGCGTCGATGACGCGCAGAGCCCAACGTTGATGCAAATTGTGAATGATCAGAGGCAAGGGATGTGAAGATGGTCAACGGGGCAAGAGCTGCCGGATGATGATGATCTGCACCTGGGCATGAGGCTGAACGCTAAAAAGCGGGCTGCGCCGTGCACTTGCCAAGAAAAGCCTTTGGGCACTTTTTCACATGTCAACATTGCTCTGACCACATCATGCACCCCGTTGCTCGCGGGCGAACAGGACGGCGCGTCGCGGAGCACTGCGGAAGAGACAAGAGTTCGCCAAGCTGATATGTGTGTATGTGTGTAGCGTCCTTGGTCGTACATAAATTGCGCTCATCATGTCCTCGCAATGCTCTTATGTTGCATTGTTGGACGACATCAATTGCTGGTTACTTTTCAAATACACAGGTGTGCTACAGATGCGTAGTACCGTACAGTCAAGCGCCTGTGTATGTGAATGACTTTGGCATGTGTTCTCATCTAAGTAATGCCGCTGAAGTCTCGTATCAATGTGATCCAACGTAATACCTGCCCAGAAAACGCCCGAGAACACCCGGCTTACTGTTAGAAAATCCTTCCTTCCTTCAGCATTGCCCACAGTGATAGATCTTCATCTTGGCTCAGATCGATCGCGCATCGCTATCCTTTCTTACGTTCGGCGAACCTTGTTGCCTCACCCTCCTGAGAGTCCAGCAAGATCCACATTGCGGCCTCAGCTCACACACGAAACAACCATAAATGAAAGTGAGAATGGCTCATGTAGAGATCAATATATGGTTATTATTCGTACCATGCCTTCCTGGTCAGCTCTAAAGTAGCGATTGATGGCAGTACGTCAAGAATGCGTCTAGACTGTGTCGTTGTCCCTAAGCTTCTACATCTTGCTAGCTTCCCTGAGCACCTCTCGGGTCAGTACTTCGCCTTTCTTTCTCACCTCGCTAAGTCTGCCCATCTTCAACAGCCTTCCTATCATCTCCTCGTCTCCGTGATGGCTGTTGTGCTCAAACTCCGGCTCTTCGCCATATGCTACTCTGGCTGCATCGACTAGTATCCTAGCTGTCATACCAAACACTCTAAACGTCGTGAGGGCATCGATGGCGCTAGGTTCCGGCCTCGGGTCATCTCCATCGGGTAACTTTTGTTGCAACGAGGGCTCTGGTGAGGATTGTGGAGAGGATCGCGAGGGATTGCGTAGCAAGGATGGAGATGGAGGAGGCCGTGGCATGTAGAAGTTGTGCATTCGCCAGCGTGATTCGTGCCAGTCTGTCCATGAACCTCGATACCACTTTTCAGGCCTGCCGTCTTTCTGGACTGGGGGTGGACCTTCACCGTCCCACTCCTTGCGCAAGAAATTATGGAACGGCGCCGTGAAAACAGCAGCAACTTCTCTGGGATCGAGTCGCGGCATAAGCTTCTCTTCAACAGAAAGGCCACTCGCCTCGGAGGAAGCAGATACGTGGGTAGGGCGCAAGAAGGCAACGCAGGGCCGCACCCCAAGTTCAGTCTTGGCCAGATTTGCGGGAAGTTCGCAAAGGTGTTCAACGGTAAAACCCCGAAGTTTGTCGTCGTTCATAGGAAGACCGATTTCTTCGTCAGCCTCGCGACGCGCGACGTCCCATGGAGATTCGTCGAGTGTGTCAGCTTTGCCTGAACTGTGTCAGTAGGCAAGTCTGATGTCATCCCCCGCATGACTTCTGAGCAAGTACCTCCAGGCAGCGCAGCTTGTCCTGCGTAGTTGCGCAACTGCGCGCTTCGCATCGTAAGGACCACCTTGAGCTCGCCATGACGGTCCGGAAAGAGCAATATGAGGACGGCGGCGCGTCTGGTAAGGGGGCAATTATACCATTGCGTTGGCGGAGGCGTATATGTGCGGAGGCGGTCCAGTGCGCGCTGTCCGAGTAATTAGCAGATGGCAGACGAAAGGGCTATGACGTGATGAAAGGAGCGGAAGCCTCCAACGCCGAAGGCACAGACGTACAACAGATCTCTGGGAAAGCGCCATGCTCGCAATGGCTTTGCTTTGGGCGAGCCATGCTGTCGGTCTCATGAGGTTGCGCGTGCGTCGGAGCCGGGGCGGGAGCATGAGACTCGGTGGGGTTTATGGGCCGAGGTTATCGATAGGCGATGGCATGCAGGAACCTCGTGGCAGCCCCCAGAGCCTCCCGCACCCTAAATAGATGCCGTGCGGAGACACAGTATACTCGACGTCAATGCTCGACAGACAATGGTCGTAGTTCAATCACCCAGGCATCGCAGCAGAAGAGCATGTTAAGTAACTTGCATGCAATTGAATCGCATCTCTATATGACAGGAAACTCCCGATCGTTATCATCGACATGCGTGGCATCGGAACAGTGCTACAAATCCCACCGCGTGAGCATGCGTTGACGACGTGCAGCAGATCCTCGAGGACATAGGAAAATAGCATGAAATTGCAGAAAAAGACCCATCCGTCAGCTAAGCATCGTGTGTCTATCATATGCAGACATTCTTTTAGGGAAATCATTTCGCACATGAGAGACCAACGCCAAGATGCCGCGATGTATAGACGATCACTCGTCCTACCTCGAACCACTTTTGAACCGGACCAAACAGAGAGAACACCTGGCCGTGCAGGTGTACTCGTATTAGAAGATCACCGCCTCTATCCAATGCACCACCGAAGCGTTAGTGGGCAGAGCGAGGCGGCGACAAGAAGATAGCAGTACACAACTTCTTAGATGAGGTCTGTCGGCAAGGTTAGCAATCAAGTTTGAACTTGTAGGAATCGATTGGCACTTACCAGCCACGTTCATGGGCATCTCCTCGATCTGTGTGCTGTAGAACTGTTCGATTTCGCGCATCATGCGGACATCGTCAGCGGTGACGAAGTTGATGGCAACACCCTTACGTCCGAAACGTCCACCACGACCGATGCGGTGGATGTAGTTCTCGCGGTTGGCGGGCAAGTCGTAGTTGATGACAAGGGAAACCTGCTGGACATCGATACCACGGGCGAGAAGGTCAGTGGCGATGAGGACACGGGAAGATCCGGAACGGAACTCCTTCATGATGACATCACGTTGTGCCTGGTCCATGTCACCGTGCATGGCCGAGACAGTGAAGTCACGGGCAGTGAGCTTGTCGGTGAGCCAGTCGACCTTCCTGCGGGTGTTGCAGAAGATGACGGCTTGGGTGATGGTGACAGTCTCGTACAAGTCGGAGAGAGTGTCGAGCTTCCAGTCCTCCTTCTCAACAGCAATGTAGAACTGCTTAATACCTTCGAGGGTAAGCTCGTCCTTCTTGACAAGGATACGGACGGGGTCGCGCATGAACTTGGTGGTGACCTCGAGGACGTCCTGGGGCATGGTAGCGGACAGAAGGACGACCTGGGTGCTCTGGGGCAGAAGCTGGAAGATGTCGTAGATCTGCTCGGTGAAACCACGAGACAACATCTCGTCGGCCTCGTCGAGGACGAACATCTTCATGTGGTCGGTCTTGAGGACGCGACGCTGGATCATGTCGTGGACACGGCCAGGAGTGCCGACAACGACCTGGGGACCGTCCTGGAGGGCCTTCATGTCGTCTCGGACGCTGGTGCCACCAATGCAGGCGTGGCACTGGACGTCCATGAAGTCACCGATGGCGACGACGACCTTCTGGATCTGCTGAGCGAGCTCACGGGTGGGGGCGAGGATAAGCGCCTGGCAGGCCTTGACGTTGGAGTCGATCTTCTGGAGGGTCGAGATGGAGAAGGTAGCCGTCTTACCGGTACCGGACTGGGCCTGCGCAATGACATCGTTGCCTGTGGTCTGTCAGTTTTGTTTCTTCCGCTGTGTTGGTGGTGTAGTGGGGGTTGTGTGTGTGTGGGCAAACTCACCCTTGATGACGGGCATGATGGCACGCTGCTGAATAGCAGAGGGGCGCTCAAAACCGTAGGCGTAGACACCACGGAGGAGCTCGGCCTTCAAGTTCATGTTGTCGAAGGAGTCGGTGATCTCATCGTAGTTGGACTCGATCTGGCCTGCGCGTGGGTTAGCCTGGGCTCGCAGCATATTTCGCAACTGAGGCTATCATGGCCGTCGCTTTCGCACTGCGGGGGCGCGCATGTTGCAACAGCGGCGGAGCAGCACTCGGACAAGAACTCACCCTCGGGCACATCCTCAAGACCTTTGTCAGCCATGATTGCGACTTGGTGGAGTGACTACTGGTACTGGACCGTAGTCGAAGTGTTGCTCGTGGCGGGGTTAAAGCGGAGGATCCTCTGGATACCGCCGCGTGTGTGGAAACTTGTGTTGTAAAAACTAGATACCAGATCCTCTACAAGAGAATCGAACGGGTATCTAGGGTAGTGTGTAGTATTTGTTGTGTGGTTGATTTGGTGGTGGAGGGAGTGAGAAGGTGGGCGCTTTTTGGCTTAAGAGGTCGGCCACAAAAAATCTCAGCAGTCGGCTAGTGCTAAAAGCACGCTAGTTCAAAACCGCCCACGGGCTCCCACCTTCAGCTTCGCCTTCACTTCCACTGGTTCGTTGCAGTGTCAGCCTATGACTCCTCTCTTCCATTTCCAGGGTTTGCCTCTTGATTCACTCGCAGCCTTGAAAACGCCCGCGCTGAGCAAACACTAACCTTGGTCCCCGTCTGTTTGTGAAATGGCGCCCGGCATCCTGGAGCACCCTGGCATTACCACTGTCGAATCACGACCGTCGAAAAGAATAAAGACTTCGGTGGCGACCGAGACCCAAGTCGACGATGAGGATGTGGCGGCGGCAATCGCAGTGCCCTCGCATCCCCTGGGCATTAAGCCGGCCGGAAATGCTTTGACAGCGTCCGAAAATATCAAATCAAGATGCGGGTTGTTCGCTAGTCTCCCAGATGAACTTCTGAGCCATGTCCTCGAGTCATTCGAGGCTGACGTTTTGATACGTCTGGGGAGTACGTGCCGGGCTCTGTATGCCTTCACTCGACTGGACGAATTATGGCGGGCCTTATTCGTAAGGTGAGTTCAATGGTTGATACACGCAACATCTCACATTGTCCATCTTTCCCGTTCCTCTGTGGCTCACAGTCATGACCCATATCTCTTGTCATCTCCCAGTCATATGTCAAATCATACGGTATATGCGAAGGACGTTGTTCCTTGTAAGCTTGCTAGACGAGGTATGACTCTGCCGGCACGCCTGATTATGCATCAACGGCTGTGTATTCGCAAGACAACATGCGCTTGCGAGATCAGCTGAGCCGCTGAATCTCGCTCTATTGAAATCAGATCCGGGCGTATTTCTCAATTCGGTTCTATATCGTATCGTGGTACATATGCGATAATGAGACGTACGCTAGGATTGGCATTTGCTGGCAAGACGGTACTATTTTCTCAGCAATTTTCTGCCTGACCTGTCCCCTCCGTTTACTTTTTATCAAACAAAATCGGACAGAGTGCAACATTTCTACAAGCGAATGCTAATCTTCGAACAGCTCCCCACCTGAAGACTTTGAATGGCGTGGAACATGGCGAGCAACCTACCTCAAAATACCTAGAGAGAACGTCACTTCTATTTCATGCACCAATCTGTTTTCAGACACACTTTACCGGCCATTTCAATGCGCACACACAACACTGAATACATATGCGCTCAACATCCCAAAACACAATGAAATAGCTCGACTCTCAGACCTAACTTACGAAGAGTACGCCGAGACATGGGTTGACAGACCCTTCGTGCTCACTACACCCGTCAAACAATGGCCTGTATATGGTTCCTGGACACCTGAATACCTTCTCGAGAGATTTCCAAATACGAAGTTCCGCGCGGAAGCAGTAGACTGGCCCATGAACAAGTACATGTCTTATATGCACGACAACGCCGACGAGTCACCTTTGTATCTTTTCGACCGTGCATTTGCCGAGAAGACCGGTATAGACATCACAGCAGCACCACATTCCAAAGAGGCGGCATACTGGAGCCCGACGTGCTTCGGCGATGACCTTTTTAGTGTCCTCGGCGAGCATCGTCCCGACTGCCGATGGATGATTATGGGTCCCAAGCGCAGCGGTTCCACATTCCACAAAGACCCCAACGCTACTTCAGCTTGGAATGCCGTCCTAACTGGTAGCAAGTACTGGCTGATGTTCCCCGCTGGCCCAGGTATCGAACCTCCACCAGGTGTCATCGTCAGTGACGATCAGTCTGAGATCACTTCTCCGCTCAGCATCGCGGAATACATGCTCACCTTCCATGAACTCGCACGCCAAACGCCTGGCTGCAAAGAAGGAATCTGCTACGCCGGTGAAGTCCTACACGTACCGTCCGGCTGGTTCCACCTCGTCCTCAACCTCGAAGATAGCCTCGCGCTCACGCAGAACTTTGTGCCACGAAAGAAATTACCCGACGTCCTGGGCTTCCTGCGCGATCAGAGGGGCGAAGTTAGTGGGTTCAAAGAGGATGTTTGCGATCGTGCTTATGAGCTTTTCGTAGAGAGACTGCAGGAGCAGCATCCTGACTTGCTGGAGGAAGGCCTCGCGGAGCTGGAAAAGAAAGGCAAAAAAAGTAGAGGCAAGTGGGAGCAATTGACCAAGGGAGATGAGGAGGAACCTGTAGGAGGTTTTAGCTTTGGATTTGGAGGGGATGACGACGATGCTGATATCCCGTGAGTCTGGTACCGTTCGGACAAGTTATTGCTTGACATAATACATATACAAGGCATGATACCATTACGCAAACGCAGGTGACACATTGGCAAAGTGTTTTTCATACAATGCTGATTTTGTAAGCTATGCTTTCCCGTGGGTATCATTTAATCATAAGGTCGTAATCATAAGCACAATGTCGTATCTCATCCTCCCCATTTTACACCAGCTCATTTTGCGTGGTTGATAATCTCGGCGTACATGTCTTCAGGTATCTTGCCGGCGAAGCTCATAGCTACACCTACAATCTTCTGAGCGTTTAGGCCGGGCAGGTTACGTAGAATAGTGTTGGGACTATTGATGTGTCAGTGACGTTACAAAAGAGCGCGAAGAGTAAGCTCACCTTGGACTGTTCAAGATGTCACCGCGAATGAGAACCAACTGAGCCACAATGCACAGGATGTTCAGATGCGGTCCGTACGCGAAGAGGAAGTCCCAAAGCTGCAGGACCTCAGGTAGTGGCGGTGTGCATGCGCACATGGTAAGCACGGATGCGAAAGCATAAATCTTGGCTTCCATGTGGTGTGCCATGAGATGACCGTACAGCTTAGGATCGACGACCTCTAGCACTCTGTCTACAAGCGCGAGACCTTTGTGCACACCTTCCATGGACCCCCTCACATAACCTGGGCACTCGTACGTGATGAGTCGCTCAAAGCCCGTGAAAGCCTCGACTTCACTCCTTGCCGCGTATAGGAATGGACCACAAAGCACATTCATTCCCTGCACGTATCCAATTTGCTCGGCGTCGTTTGTAGTAGACGCTTCTGTACGGGTGCCCGCAGTCAGGGAAGGGCGCGACATCATCGAGGTATCTGGACTACCGCCGAACTCGGATAACGTGGGTGGGGACTGCCAGCCATTGACGCGTGCCTCGTGTGCATCGTTCAGTCTCCACGCGACTGCGTTGAGCACACGCGTGATGCTGTTCTGGGTGACGCGTCTTCGGAAGAGAGGATCGCCTTGGAAGGTACGGAAGGTATCATTTTGGATTTTGGCGTGCGCTGGAGAAGCGCCTTGACGGACAAGGTCAAGATATACGTCGGTCTTGAGAGGAGGCGCGTTGAGCAGTATGAGCCATATGTATATGCGTAGCTCCGACTGAGTCAATGCGAAGTCAGCATTTAGAACCATTGAGCAGCTCTAGAGTGCGCCCATGCGCAATGTAATCGCATGGGGTATTGTGGAGAACGTACCATGCCCTCGCTGTTGGCGGGTATACCTTTTGTCAAGATTGTGTATCGCAATTCCTGAAGGCCCTCCTCTGGACTACTCGCAGAGGCCCCTTTCAGGAGCAACATGTCCAAGTTCGTCATTTTGTGTAGTTGTTCAAGAAACACGGGATTTGTGAACGATGGGGATTCAAATTGGGGTCTCCCCAGGGTCGAACTCTCCGCGTTACGGTGTGCCCTGGCGCCTTGGCACTTCGATGCGTCTCCGGCCCCACTCCATTCGTGGACATCCATTCCACTATCATTCAACCCTCCAGTACTTACGGCGTACAAATGCTACAGCAAGCCCGTTAAGTTCATGGACAGGAGATGTGTCCGAATCGATTCTTATACTTGTTGGTATTACTTCCGTGTCTACCTAGGTATTCTAGCCTATAACTGGTCTACAGACGTATCCTTGGAACTATCGCTGAGACTCTGATTCGAATGCCCTCAAGATATTGACACGGCCTTACAGTTGACAATGTTCTGGCTCGAGGCGGATTGAGTCAACCTCCATACTATCCCGCCGAAGCTGCTGCTCCTCCGTAGCCATGTTCTTCTGGATATCCTCAAAATGTTTCGTGGTGATTTCTACTTCGTACGTGTGTTTGTACGAGATAATGGATAGGTTTGAGGTATCGGTCATTCTCCGACTTCTGAATCTTGTTGTCAAAGAGTCCAAAATGCGCAGAAAGCGGTCAGGTCACCCACCAAGACAAATGAATCAGCTATAGGAGGTTTACCAAGTCATGCTAAGGTACCAACTCTGTCAGTAAAGACCACCAGAGGAAGGACTGCATGAACAGGTGAATTTTACATAGTAAAACTTGACTTGGTGAGTATCTATGCTTGTTGAATGTTTCAGGGTTACTACTCTTGCCTTTCAGAAGAAAACAAGACGGGCCAATTCTGCGAGGGGCCCATGGTGAGCATTTAGCATGAAATCAAGCATAGTCGAGTGGGGCTAGTTATCTGAAAGACCGTATTATTGAAGTATTGTCGTGCCGTCATGATATTTACTACATCAGCCTCTAGAACGCCGTAGAAAATTATGTACAGGTGGAATTATAACGCCATGAGCCCTTCCTATCACACCTCATCTCCTCCTGGTCGACGAAGTTGATGTTTTCTTGTCGTCCTTCTTTGTACTTGAACTCGTCGCCTTAGGTGCTGAGGTTATCGCAGCTGAGGAAGAAGTAACCCTAGCTACGGACGGGGGTGAAGTGGTTGTTGGCAGTGCCGTAGAAGAAGCAGTTGCCTGGGAAGAAGACGAAGAAGCCGGTCGAGTGCTAGTCACTAGCGTGCTAGGTCCCTTTCCTCCATTGGCCCAGTAGTCAACAAGAGCGTCTTCGAGCTTTTCAGGTCCTGTGTATGCCTCGAGAGCTTCGAGTTCAGCACATTTCTCGTAAATGTGCTCCTCCTCGTTGTCATGGTCGTTGATATCCTTGGATCGGTACTTCTCCTCCATCGGGTCGATAAACTTGGTTGTTTCGGGGTAGCCGAAATCGGCGAGACTGGTGACGTTAAAAGCAGCCATCATGTCGTGATCTTCGTGGATAAGGTTGTGGCAATGGAACATGTATACACCATCATAAGGAGCGTAACGGGCGATGACTGTAACCTTTTCGTTCACACCAAGTAGAACAACATCCTTCAGGGCCTCTTTTTCGTAGTTCAGGACGCTTCGCTTGCCGCCGGTACGTGCCAGAATCTGGAAATCGACAAGGTGGATGTGAACCGGATGGCTCCAACCCCCAGATGAATTTTCAAGCTCCCAGACTTCAACCGCGCCGCGCTGTGGCTTAGCAAGGATGCGGTTATTGACATCGGCGAACGTAACACCATTGACTGTCCATTGCCCATTGGTGCGTCCGAACTTGAAGCTCCTGTCGATGCCACTCTTCTTAGGTGGGAATGGCACTGTGCGCAGCGAGCCTGGAAGAGCGCCATTACCGGCTGTGTCTGAGACGGACGTCCCAACAACAAATCGCATAACTTTATCAGTGCTGTTGTAGTCCTCGTCTGCCTGCACGTCACGAGCGTTCTTCATTGTTACGTTCTTTCCGGAATACGTGCTGAAGTCGACCACGATCTCCCAGCGTTCGGCCATCGAGATTTCAAGGTTGTCGCTTTGTACAGGCTTGGTCATGAGACCAGTATCCGCGCCGATGACGTGGAAGGGAACCTTTTTGGCTGTCGGGTCCTCGAGTGTGAGCTTGAAGGCACGGCTGATAGCTGTGTTGAGCATCCTGAAGCGGTATTTGCGAGGCTCAACCTTCATGTACGGCCATGGTTGACCGTTGACGTGGATGACATCGCCCCAGAGCGAATCGGTCTCGTCTTTGGGGTCGAATAGTGTACCATCGCTGTTGTACTGTTTCGATGCCAAAGCCAGGGGAACATCGTATGCGCCTGAAGGAAGTCCCAATGCGTCCTCAGCAGGGTCATGAAGTATGTAGAAGCCTGCCTGTCCAAAGTAGGCGTTCTCGGCTGTATGATGAATGGCATGGTCGTGGTACCACAATGTTCGTGCACTTTGTTTGTTTGGGTAGTCTAAGGTTCGTCAGCATTATATGATACGATGATGCTGTTCGGTGGTGCTTACAGTAGTCTTTGTATTGACCAGGCTTGGTAGTGTCTTCGGCCCAACCGTCAAAAGGCGCGCGGCTATACGAACCGTGGAGGTGCACCGAGAGATCTTTGTCACCATGGTTCTTAAAACGAACGATGGCTTCTCGACCCTTCTTCATCCTGAAAGTAGGTCCAGGTGATACTCCATCATATCCAACGAGTCTGGCAGGCTTCAGCCCACGATAGACTTGTTGTGTGAAGGGCGTCACGTCAACCTCATAGAAGTCAATCTGGTTCCCTGTAGTCTTGTTCGTGTAGGTGTACGATTTGACCTTATCCTTGGGTATAGGAAGCTCGTTTTGAAAAATCTCCTTGTATACGGGACTTATCCAAGCATCATCGCCGGCCAATGCTTGCGATGCCAAGAGGGCTGCAACTCCAATCGAAAAGTAGTTCTTCATGGCGTACGGAAGACGGATGAAGTAGAGTGATAAGCAAGTATGAGTGAACTGGGCTGATGCTCTGTTGTACACGAACGTCTTGAAGCTCTTTATACTCCCACAGCTCACCATTTACAACAGCTAAATGGTCTCGAACGCCCCTACCTTGAAGCTGCTCAGCCATTTCAAAAATCTCACCATACCTAATCGTGTCAAGTTCATCTCTACAAGGGTACCAGGTCACCGTGTGAAGCCCAGGAGCGGCATGAGACGCCATTTGGCGTTTTCGCTAATACCGTCTGGGTGTGTCGACATTCGCCTCGTTCCCGTACTCTTCAAACTACTTCTTAGGAGAGCCGGAAATGTGGTATCCATGCCTAGGCAGTGTTCCAGAGGCTTGGTATAAGCAAGGGCTAGGCGATGAACGAAAGCTGGCGAGTCTTGGCATACAGTAGTACGGCAATGCCGTGATGGCGGAAGATTATGGGTTCATGTTTTACTCTGCCGAGTGCAGAAGTAAATTAATCTCAAGTACCGAATTGTGCATACGTATCGTTGGATTAAATTCCGACTTTGGTAAATCTTCTCGACAACAGGCACCTGACTATTATTTGCTCTTGTTCAACACTCGAGACAGATCATGGACGCCTGATCGGAGGCCGACCAACTGTGGATTCTGTGCCGGGTAGACCGAGGTTTTCGGGCGAAGCGGTCTCAACTTGGAATGGCTGATGTATAGCCAAAAAAGTCCTCGTCGATGCCTGGCGTTCTACATACCTAGGCGAACGCCTAGACACGAGTGGTCAAGACGATTAAGGGCCCCCACAGAAACGACCATGGCAGTCTCGCCTTGCTGGGGTTGAACAGTGTTGCCAGCACTCGAGCATGCGTGAGCTATGAGGCACTAACACTAGGTCATAACATCATGCTGGAGACCGGTCAGCTTGGCAGGCTTCTTTGGGAGTCCAGTGGGTCCAAGAATAGCAAAGGTGAGCCCGGAGGACTGGCAGCGGATGCCTGTCATTGCGCCGATGCTGTTTCTGTTCGTCGTAAACGGAGAAGTGTGAAGGGGAAGCTGCGGGAAGAGAGGTCTGGACTGTGATCATGCTTTGATCGACGCTATATTAGCGCCCGCCGGCCTTGGCGTGGAGTTCCCTCAGCCTGTCATTTGAAGCTCTCGACGCCACGACGCCTTTCCAACAGCTCGACCTCAGCTACCCCGTAACGCACCATCTGCGCGTAGATCATGCGTGCCTAAACACGGCTCATTTTCTCGTGTCTTGTACCCACAGCGTCAGCATCGCCGAGTCAGAGTGTCACGTGTGCGAGTGGTCTTTGGTTCTTTTCTTTCATGAAACCGCTAAAAGGGTAGCTTTAATGGATCAGGGTCTGATCGGGGAACAGTGTTTCCGGTTGGTGAGTGTTCAAAAACGATTGTAGCCATCGCCACGCTGTCCAGGCTTAATACTGGTGCCACGTCTATGACATTGGCTCGACGTTATGGTCACTTGTTCTCAGCAGACATCGTATCACCCCCAGATCTCTGAACGTGTTGCATACAGCATTGTTGAATGCAGGTAGCAGGGTTATCCTGTCGCTATGCTCAAGGAAGCGTGTTCGACACACCTACCTCGCAATCGATTCCGCACCGAGCCTTGCTTTGGCACAGTATCGGAACATATCTAGCATAGGAGGCTTTCCGCTAATCCTCGATCTACCCGCTTACCCTTGCGCAACCCCGCGACGGCACTTGGACACGCGAGAAAGATTACACTAAATCAAGGTCACTATTCCAACAACATACACCGGTCTTAGCAATGTATCCTCGGGTATCTCTACACGTCTATTCCGAGACAACTCTTCATGTTGTTCAGTGGATCGTTGGCACATTGAAGTACATTCTGTGTAGGCACATTCCACGTCGTCTTTACCATTTCCCTATTGCTTCGCTGTATCTTCACGCCACCACAACTCTGAGTCCCACAAGCTGAGGCTGTCAATATGCAATGGCGAGAGGCTAGATCAGCCCATGTTCGACGTCTGCAAAACTTCTCCATCATAATCTTTCCGCTGTTGTTCGAGGATACCGCCTCATCCAATATTGGCTTGCAGGACGCCAAGTCCGCTGAGCCAGACGCGAAAGCTTGGCTTCCACTAAAGGTATGGAAATACGAAGAGCCTCAGCTGTGGCTCCCGTCGCTTCTGTAGTGTCGTGTCCGGTGACCTGGTTAGTCTTCGGTGCTGCCGCTTTGCTCGGCCATGTGGCAATCAACGAATGGGGGTCACTTTTCGTATGTCTCGCACACATGCTGACAAACAGTCTCGTAGCAATGGCTACAGTGTCAACTGTAACAACATCTCTATTACCCGGTGGTCTCTTTGCCTTATCTGATTCGTGAAGCTTGTTCGAAACATACAGATAAGATATGCTAAATAGAAGACACGCATAATGCACCAAACGCACTAGCAATGACTTGCCATGATTTGTCCAGCGAAAATCCCATTCTGCACTCATCGTTGTCACTTATGCCGACTGCATACCTTCATTTACTGTCAAATACAACATTCACTCCACATCGCGATCAAGAAAGCGCGCACTACCGGCACCTTTCGCAACGGCGAAGGGCTAGTCGCGATATGCGGGATAGACCCAAAACTTAGCATTGCTTTTTCAACTCTTCGCTAAACTAATACCTTTCTGTTAGATCAGGCAGCACAACCAAAGCCAGTGGCTTATTATATAGTTTATCGGCATTTCAGAACCGCTTGAACTAGTATGCCTTCCCTTCGGCATCTAGAACCTTTAGCTCAAAGATCCTGCTCTTCCAAGTACTTTTTCATGGCTGAGGTATTTCCAAACTCTCTGTACGTAACACGTACACGAGGAAGCTTCTGCCTCATAGTCCTGGTGAAGTTTTCTTTGGCTTCATTGATTTCTGTGCTATTTGGTGGCGGTATAGTGTCATGTTCCGTTTCGTCATCATCATCTGAATCTCCGAAAACTTCTGTAGCGGACAGCAAAAGCTCAAGGTGCGACAGGTTCTCGAAAGCACGGAAGGTAACACGGCGATACTCGCCTTGATCTTCCCTAGCAATCTCAACCTTCTCCTCTTCAACGTCGTATCCGGGATCTTCTCTCTCCGCCAACATGTACAAGTCCGTCGAATCGACGCCGATCTGGATAGAACGTATCAAGCTCTTCTTGTACTTGGGTTTCTCATTCTCGCACAACGACCAGAAGAAGTCTTCCCAGGACGGCTGACAGCTAAAGGACCAGATGAGGAACGTATGTGAAAGGCTAGCAGCTTCCCTGTAAAGTTGTCGGCATACTACAAGGGGGCTGTACGCAGAGTTTTGGGGAGCTTCTGGTCTGATAGTCTGTGTGAAGGTAAAAGTCCAGATGAGATCGCGTAATTCGCGGGGCATACGAAGAAGAGGCGATTCAAGTGCATTCCTTTTGGTGCTGGCATTGTGTCAGTAAGTGAGCAGACTATGTAGCAATGTGCGACTGACATGGATTTCTGCCAATCGGTCTTGGGCGCCACGTCAAAGATGCTGCTGTCTAGTTTGGGTAAAGGCGTTTGCTCTTTCGGTGATGAAGACATATTGTACGGTCTTGGTCCCGACGTGAATATGGAAGCATGTGAAGGTAGAGAACATATCTGATGGCGGTGTGTAATCTAGTTGATGCAAGATGATGTCACTGCTCATAGCTCACACAATCTACCCACTGGTTTGCATCACGATCAATCATCATTGTGGACGTCTGAACAAAATCCAGGCAAAAGAAGACCAGATACAGATCTATTTCATAAGAACTTCACCCTCCCAAACCCCAAACTCAATCTTCCCCCCATCCAGTTTTCCCCTCTCCTCATTAACCCACCCCTGTACCAACATAACGGCATGTTCTCTAATTAACGTCTTCCCTTCCTCGTCAACCAACAAAAGTAATACCATCCACTCTCCACGCCCGTCTTTACTGATCAACGGATGATGCTCGGGTTGCGCGTCTTCGCCAGACCATCGGTACAATGAAGAGTATGGCTCGAGAGCCGGAGGCACGGCGGCTTTGACGAGGGTGAATAGGGAGGATTGAAGGGCCTTGGGGACTGTATCGACATCGATCGTCGTAGTGGCTTGTGGGAGATCTACATGCACAGCGACCATGACAGATTTCGGCCCTTTACCACTTTTCGTAGTGAGATGTGTCGGTAACATTTGAAACGATGGCTCCATTGCCGGCGATCCCATCTCTTCATACACTGCGAATTTGGCATCCACAATATCGAACACCATTGCTCCACCCTCACCATCCTCCCGGAACCCCACACCCTCCTCCCCCTTCTCCAGATCTCTCGTCTTTTCCAAATTCAGTTTCCGACTAACGCCGTTGTAGCCATCTGCCTTCAAGTGTCCGATGTCAGACACGACACAAGTGTACATGTACTTTGGTAAAGATCCCTCTTTCTCATTATGCGTGTACTGGTCATCACTCTCTGGAGCGCAGAAACGCAGAGCATGTGTGACTTGACCGGAACCGGTATCGGGTACGTTGAGCAAGTCTCTGAAATGGAGTTTGGTCCAGCGGAAGAACGTACTGGCGTTAGATGGAGTGACGTCGCGGAGGCGAGGTTGGACGAGGAGCAGGCCTTGTTTGGTCTGCTGGGATGGCGAGGGAGGCGAGATAGCGGAAGGCATTTTTCAAGTGTTGTATATGATTTTGATCGAGAAGCCGCTGCCACAGTCTCAGACGTACTTGGTTATTGCGGCGGGTATATGTGTGTTGAGCTTCCTTTTTGTCCCGCCCGTACGCTGTGCATCCTCGGACGGCAATCGCGTGGAGTCCCGGAGTTGCAGCTGCAGGAGCAACCCTGTCTGCATATAGAAAAGCACAACGATTAGCCTAGGTTCAAGCTTGGCCCCCGAAGCGTGCATACCGGTCAGAATATGGGGCTTGGAAATGTGCCGGGCGTAAGCTGACGTTGGTAGTACTAGACGACGCAGACCGTCTACCGACATACGCTGGGGCTACACTGTTTGAAAAGTTGATTCATTTCAAAGACAAAGTAGATGTACCGCCTTGACAGACAAGCCTCTAATCTTGTGGCGCGGAATTTACATCGCGCTCTCCTTTCCTCCACTAATACCTGGTCCTCAGTCTCCCTTTCCCCAACCCATCCAATCTGAGGTATACCATCGTACAACAAAAGCAAGCACCGCGACTCCCTTTGTCTGATGCAGGTACCGCCGTGGTAAACTCCAGTACCCCAAACTCTCCAGAAATAACACAAATGTATCCCTATAGTACCGGTGAATTGAACCGCTTCTCTTGCCAATATGTGCTTTACATATCCTCGGATCTCTAATTCCGAGGCAGGTGTAGGAAGATTGTACACTTCTCAATCTCAACATCCTCTTTCTTCGCACCACCACTTTCAGGTAGACCCTTACGGTCTTTCTCCGCAACGATCTCAACTTCAATACGGTTAACGCCAGCAGCAAGTTTCGCTTCGAAAAGTGGCTCTCCTTTCTTCTTACCACCCTCGTAGCCGGGACTAGGGCTGGTACCGTTGATGCCTGCTGTGACAGGAACTCGGTTTGCTTCGAGTGTCTTGTTGCCATTGACAGTAACAAAGAGGCGGTACATGCGGCTTGTCAATGCAATAGGTACTTTAGGAATGACTTGGATGTACGAGTTGGCTGGTGCGACTACCATTGTGGCACTGTACATGGTCTTTTGTTTGTTCGCTGGGATATTGACAGACCATGGCTTGGACGGATTGAGCGCGGGATGGGTATTTAGTGTGATCTTGGGTATCAGTGCTTCGTCGATGTCTAGATGTGTTAATTGCTGGTTTACAGAGTCGGAAATGTCGACTTACTTTTGAGTGGAACCTTCCTGAAACTATCTACGCGAGCCACTGGTGGAGGCGCGTAGTAAGTCGGCGCTTGGTATGCGGAAACGTGGTTGCCATTTTGGAGCCCAACACCGTTTGGATGTGGACTGCCACTTGCCGGACGAGACATATGTTGTGGAGGAGCCATGTTCGGATGTGGCGTTTGTGCAGGGACGCTGAGTCGCGCAGCCTGGCTATCGGGCGCAGTACTGGCTGGCCTGATGGCACTCAAGGCAGGCGACTGTACATCTTGTTTAACACCGTTGACTGCCGGTGGAGACCCTGCAGTCTTGCCCTGCGCGGCGGAGAGTGGTGCAATTGTTGAAGCGACGCCTTTCGGTCCAGTAAACGGATTGGCAGGCGCTGTTGGCGTCGCAGCTTTCGATGGAGTGGCCGACCGGTTGCCCATGCTGTCAAGAACATGTCGTTGTTGTCGCAGAAGAGCGTCATTGTCAACGATGACACCAGGCGTCGCAGAATCACGGGCACTTGGAGTGTTACGTTCTGACCCTGGGCTCGGCTTGAGCTTGAGCTTGAGCTGTTGCTTGGGGGCTGCAGCACTAGACATGTTGAGCTTCAGTTTTGGCTGCGTTGGCTCGCTGACTTTGGATTTGGCTTCTTCGAGTTTCTTGTTGAAGATTTCCTGTACTAGTCAGTATTACGCAACGAGGAAGTAGAAATAAACTACGTACCTCAAGCTCGAGCGAGAGGTTATAGATGTCGCTGCCATCTTCGTTGTAGATACGAGCATTCTTCCAGATAAGACTGAATGCATCTTCGAAAGCGTCCCAGCTCTTAAACAGTGTATGTCCTGTCGGGGCTTCGCGTCCGATGACACCGCGAACCTTCTTTTGTATGGCGGCCAGCGACATTGGGTCTTTGATCAGCTGGTAGTAGTCTTTCAAGCTGCGCGATGGGAGGTTTTGGAAGGGTAAGAATATTTGTAAGCCTTGACTGGAGGGTGTTAGCATAGAGGCAATCCAGCAGCGAGCATACAACTTACTCCTCATAGTCGATAATCTCCCTCACAATCTGCTCCTGTGCTTGCTGGAACGTCTTCCCTGCGTAATCGGCACTGTTGTCGTCGTCGTCTTCCAGCGCAGCAGATGCTGACTGTCGCAACTTTGACGGTGCTGGTGTAGCCGATGCTGCGATGGCGGCCGCTCGTCGGGGGCGCTCAACAGTCTCTATAGTAGCAGGTGTAGCAGGTGTATGTGCAGTTCTTGGGGTTGCCGTGATGCGGGGCGGAGGTCTCGACGGAGTAGAGTTGTCTTCGCCTGGGATCGGGGTAGCCGTTGCAACATAGTTGCCATCACGGTATGCAGGGTTGTGCTTCACCATCCAGTTTGAGGCGGTCTTGCGCAGACGCTCGGCATCTTGGTATATGACAGAGTTCTTGTCGTTGTAGGCTTTCGCATTGTTGACCAATCGTTTGCAGTCGCTCTCGACTTGAGCCAGAGACGCGTACTCTCCGTTGTTGAGTTTATTCTGGGCATACATTAGCAGCCGGAAGGTAACTAAGGCATAGGCATGAACAAGGGACGGGCATACCTCAATGGTATCTATAGCAATAGGCAATTTCGTGAATTCGTAGTAGTCGGGTACTTCAGCCTACGTGCAAGTGTCAGCGGAGGCTGGTCTATGCGGAGAACGCTGTGGGAACATACCCTGTCTGGAAGGGAGAGGAAATGGACTGCGATGGGTCGTCCGCTGCAGGTTGTCAGTGGAAGTCGCTTGATGTGGCTCCCTGGCGAGTGTGGAAGCTGCCAGTGTGCAAGTAGGTTCAGGAGCCAAGCACGTACGTCTTGTCTTTGGCCTGCTTCAAGCTGTCGAGGAACTTCAAGCCGGCCGTTGTGGTTGATTCGACCGTCTCCGACTTGGAAGGGGTTTCGGCCTGCACGGAAGCGGTCCCCTGTCAGCATTGTTCCCAAGATTGTGTGAGTAGAAATCCTCTGTTCCCGACTGCATCGCCGGCGCGCGCGTGGTGTTGAGGGAGCGATGAGGGGCCGACTGCGGTGATGGCCTACTCGTCGAGCCCCCCAGGTGTCGCGCTTCTGGTCTAAGGACCATCCCGCATCGCGACCATCACGCCTCCTGCATCTCCCAAACACACTCGACGATGCATCAACCACCACCATGGACTGCACGTACCGTCCCTTTTTGTCGCTTCGCAGGGCGACCGTCGTGGTCGCCCGCTGCATTGCTGGCCGCCTTGCGCTTGGCCGCGCTCTCCATATTCGGTCAATTCGTGATCGCGTAGTCTGTCTGAGCGGTTTGCAGAGGGTCTCGAAGCGGGTAGGGATCGTGGCGGCGGTGCAGTGAAATGCGCGTTCGGTCGTTAACCCGGTGGACGCGCCGCAGTGTTCAATCTAGGGCTCCCAGTTTTGCCAAGAGAGCGCGCACGGTCCCCTTGCATCACCAGATGCACTGTAATCGTGCTTCATCACAACAAGTCGACAGCAAACCATGGCCACTTTTACTTGCTAGCATCACACTGCAAACGTCTGAGTATTACCAATGAATTGTTTCTAGGTAGTGGAGCCTGGTCGCTGTCTTCCAGGGGTATACTTGGGAAATGGCACCTCCGCTAATACTGCAGCAATCTCAACATGTTTGTGGCATCAGACCAGAACCAAGGAAAGTCATCCAGAGTCTGCATTCTCACTTCTTCACGGGCTCCGACGCCTTCTTCTCAAACTCCGCACGCGCCTCCTGCTCCTTCATCTCGCGCACCTTGGCTAGTACAACTTCTCGGAAGATGGCTCCCTTGGCAATTCTGCTCAAGCGTCCAGGTCCCTTTCCTGTGCTTGCGTTCTCGTTGGTCGCTAGGCCCTTGTCCGCTGAATGTGATGCAATGGCTTCACCTGCAGCTTCGCGGGCATTAGCAGGCATGTCTGCCTCTCCGGGTACATCCTCTTCCTCGTCTTCTTGCATCTTGAGCGCCTCGATACGGTTTGCAAGCTTGACGAGCTCGATGCCACGCTTGAGGCGGGCCTTTGCCGCGTATGCCTTGATTTCTGGCACCAAGTTGTGGTCCGTAGCAGTGCTTCCGCTGAGCCAAACGTGTTTAAGAGCAGCCTAGTATTGTTAGTGAATTGCAATAGACGCGAGCTTCTTCATCGTACTTCACTAGTCGGTCGCTTGTTTGGGTCGGGTTCCAGCAGCTTCTTGATGAACTCCTTGGCTTCCGGACTCACTTCCTTCCAGTATCGCTCGTGGAAGATGACGCGGCCGTTCTTGCATTCCTCAATCAGATCCGCAAGGTTCTCTGACCGGAACGGCGAGTATCCACACAGAAGTGTGTATGTGATAACGCCCATGGACCACATGTCGACGGGCTTTCCGTGGCCTTTCTTGAGCATGACCTCAGGGGCAGCGTATCCGAAAGAGCCAGCCATGGTGGTCAGGACTTCACTCTTCGAGTCGAGCATCTTGGCGATACCGAAATCAGCAAGGACGAGGGAGGAGTTCGCATCGCGTGTGAGGTAGAGGAGGTTCTCTGGCTTAAGATCTGTTCAGGGGTCAGTTGCTGGGTTTGTGTTGAAGACTCGGACCATACCTCTGTGAACAACATTGTTCTGGTGTAGGTAGTTGACTGCATCGAGTACTTGTCGGATCGTCTCGGCGGCGTCCTTTTCTGTGAACTTGCCCTTTTCGCAAATACGATCGAACAACTCTCCACCAGTCGCCAATTGGGTCACGATGTAGTACTTGTCCTGGTAGATGTCAGCTCCACAGCCCTATGGACGATAAAATGGTCGCGCATACCCTCGACTCAAACCAGTCGTGGAACTTGACAATGTGAGGGTGCTTCATTCGCTGCAGCATCTCCAACTCATCGTAGACCATTTGCTCGTTGCCGCGCACATTCTTCTTCAAGATGATCTTCACGGCGACCTTGCCCTCGGGACAGTCAGCTTCTCGGACAATACCGTATGTTCCAGCGCCCAGTGTCTTTCCGAAGCGGTATCGAGATCTGCGATTGACATGTTCAGTACAAGGAGGAGCGCGGGGCACGAGGGTACAGACTTGCGATCATAGCTATCGGGCTGGCCGTGCAGCTTGTTGAGCATGTTTGTCACTGGAGGGCAAGTCAGTATTTAGTATTGCGATGCGCAACGCTGAGAGGGTAGTACAACTCATGATGGGCGAGCTAATGGGCAGCTATATGACTACTGCAAGCTTATTCTCAGGCTGAGGGTGAGATTTGGGTTGCCTATCAGGCGCGTTCAGCTGGTGGTGGGGGTCGTCGGTGAGGGGTAAGAAACACTCAGGTAGCAATGCTCTCGTATGAGGAAAAGACAAGGCTGCAAAGGAAGGTCGTGAAAAGGAGGCACAGAACTGAATCGGGTCAGCAACAAAGGTCGAGCGTCTTGGGAGAACTGGAGTAGCACCTAGCCTGGCTGTGGGGCAGGCGCATTCGAGGGTCGTGTCCGCCTCGCGGCCTCCAGGGTTTGAGGCGCAGCGCCAATGGCCAATGGATCAAAAGCTAGCAGCGGCCCCCTCAACGCTTTCTTCACAGCCGTGTTTGTCGCGCTCGATGAACGACATATGCGAGGCTACCACAAACTGCGAAGACGAGTGGGCGGGCATGGCATACACACTCTGTTACAGCATACACGCGTCCAGCAGGGTCAGCGTCAACGGGGTGTGGCGCCTGTCATCTTGACTCGCAAAGCATGGACGTTTATCTGCTCGCAGCTTCTTAATGATAAACTTCAAGGATATGGACATTAGATGCCTCTTATAGTACGAACGAGTCCGTACCTCTCGTATTCCAGCTAGCATTCTAGTATATTACGCCGACACTACCTGAGCAGCAGCCGCTAGACGGTTGCGTGCAGCGCGTATGAAAACGGTAGTCTCTGTGCACCTCAGAAGGCGCGAGCTTCCCAATGTTCGCAGAACGCATGCGCCACAGAGGTAGGGCCCAGAAGGTGCCAAGAAAGAAGAGAACCGTTCGTCTGGTCCCGCAGGCGCAAGGCTGGCAGGTTTGCATGTGCGATTCCTACGTCATGCCCCTTCCGCGTACATAATCTGGGCCTTGATCGACAACGCCCACCAAACCACGCACATCACTTGTTCAATCTGCCAAATCCCCTGTATAGCAGTACTGCACCACCAATTCCAATACAGACTACTTCACGCATACCGACTTTCTCACCATCCTTGCTATGGCGATCGGCATCTTCACCGTCCTCGCCGGCTTGATAGCCTTGGCTGCTGGCTACTTCTACTTCTTCGGTATCTCCCCAGAGATGAAGCGCAAGATGGAGAAACAGGCTCTCCAAACCATGGGCGAGAACAAGATGTCCTACATGGCCAAGGGTGAGTCTTACCATATTTGCAATGCACAATCACTACCTGGGCAAACACTGACATCCTCCAGACCAAATCAACAAGCTCCCCACCTCCGACCAAGAAGACGTCAAGAATCTCAAGCAGGGCATCAGCAACCTCGCGGGTGGCGCTATGCAGAACCCCATCGGCGAACAAGCTGGTGAAACCGCTGACAGACTCACGTCTCCGCTTACCGGTCGCTAATGTCTCTTCTTTGTCTAGTCCGGACAGCGTCCCAGGTCTGGGGTTCGGCAAAGGATGTCTCGAAGAAGGTTTCCGAACGGTTCTACTAGGAGGCTATACAGGCTTATCTGAATGCCTTGCTTGAGTGTTTTCAAGCTTTGGTAGGCACGTCCAAGGAGACGGTCCAGAAGAAAGCAGAATAGCGATACGATAACGGAAAGGCGATATTGGACATCCCCTCGGTAGGCGTTTGGTGGTACCTTTGTGGCTTCTTGACTGCAGCCTTTTCCTTGTTACCCCTTCGGCAGACGTGGGCTACAACCTCATGACCGTCACGACTCTTGTGTAATCATCTCCAACCTTTAATAAATCTTTTCCGTATTCTGTCGAAAGACTTGTTCCATTTGACTCATCATCCCACCTGTATCCCACCGCTCCATACCAACCAGGCGACACCCTCCCAGCACAGGACGATCCCCCAGAACACAACCTGAAACCTCACCTTGCGTGTCTTATGCTGGAAGTAGTGCATGCCCACCAGCCCACCCGGCCATCCCCCTACCGCCGCCAGTGTATGCAACGTCACCTCTTTCACCCTCCACTCCAGATTACGCGCCTGCATCTTGTCGTAGCCATAGAAGAGGAAGGTGATGCCGCTAATCGTTCCGGCGTAGAGGATGGGGTATATGGGCAGCTGCGAGACGACATAAAGGCGGATGAGTGTGACGGTGGGTAGGATGAGCGAAGCGGTTCCGCAGACGGTAGCAACAGTCAAGGGTCGATGGCGAGGACGTGCGCGTGGTGGCATCTTGTTGGACGTTACTGATAGTAAGAGAGGAACCGGGGGTCTGGGCGCATCGCAACAGAGGAAGGCACAGTATTGGCAACGTGCTGGTAAGCGATGGGCGTATGCGCGAGCGAAGCATTGGCGGTGCCATGTCGATCTCCCGTCGGTGGTGCTTGCACGGAAGGGGTATAGCTCAACATCTAGTACGGTTCATCAGCTCGGTTCCAGCTCTTCGTCATTCAGCGTTGCAATTACACCTCGTTCATGTCGACTTGTAATTCAAAGATATTCACTGACTTGTACATTGGTAAGATGGCTATCCAAAAGGCCGTGAAAATCTTCGATATGAACTACAATGCTATTTTACAATCTAAAGATCCCGACTTTCTTTTGGATCCATGCCATACGTGCGCGTGTGTTCTTTGGGAGTGCCAGCAGATGACACATATGAATGCACTATCCCTAAGCACACCCTAGGTCCTTCAGGTGACCTGGCAGAGACACCGCACCACGAGGATGGACCGCCACGAAGTTCGATGCCGCCCTCTCACAATCCTGCGCCTCCAACGCGAAGAGCGTCCGCCATGTTTCGGTGGATCGTTCGAGGTACTTTACAACTGTCAGCACATGAAACCCAGCGCAAGAGTATATATCAAATCTTTGTTGTAGTAAACTCACGTTCGGTTCCTCCTGGCACGCTACCGGGCATTTCTCCCCGGACCAGGTTCCTGCCCGAAGCACCGTGTAGCGGACCGTCTCGTAGCAATACTCGATACACTATCTGTCGTCAGGATCGTTCTGACACGGTGACAATTGGAACTTACCTTGCCATAAAGTTGAAAGGCTGGAGATAAAGGTTTGGGTTCGTCCCTTGAGAGTTTGGCGCCCAAAGCCTGCGATGATTTGACATTTGGCCATGGGTGTGTGTTCTCGTAAACGTTCTCTTCTGTGTCCCTGAAGGCGTTTGCTGCTGATGCGTGTGAGGCAAATGCCAGAACAGCGAAAATCGCAGCGGAAAGGGTACTGATATTGAACTTCATGATGAGAGTTTGTTTCGAAGGGTTGGTTGTTGAGAATACTCTTGAATTGTCTGAAGGTAGTATGTTAGTTGTGCGATTAAAGAAGATGTAGCGGTGCGTCCATCTTACATGTTCATTTCCTCCTTCAGGCTTACCAGTGCGTAATGGTCGACCTTGGATGTCATCTACCCCCGTCCCATGGTACTGAAGCAGCAATGCAGCGCTGTAAGTCCCCCCAGTGGTGTCCGCTCAAATACCCTAAGAGGTCGCAAATAGCGCGTCGAGCCACAATCAATCCATCGGTCATTCCGTGGTACTGCAAGGATGAGCCACTCATACGTTCCTTAAGATCTACCAGCCGCCTCAACGTAATTCGCGATGATCGAATATTAACAAAATGTATTGCGATCACGTACAAATCACCAATCTGACGCTCCAAAAAATATTGCGACGTTCCTCTTTCCCCAAGTTTCCCATCCAGCTCTGGTAATCGCTACCCAGCACACCTGAGGACTGTCAAGGTCTACTTATGGGTCCCCAATAAAACTTTTTCAGCGTCGTTTCTTCCTCCAAAATATTCCTTTGTATCTTGTTCCTCAATATCTCGATCTGACGATCATATTCCCAGCGCGGCGTATCCGCACCCCTCATACCAATAAACCTTGCAAACATTCTCATCTTGATCTTTAATCGCTCCAGCTCGGCTAATTTGCAGTCTTCCGGTAACGTCTCGCTATTGTCCAAGAAAGGTTGTTGCCAGTTCATTGTCTGTGGATATTGATGTGTAAGGTTGGTGGTATGTGTTTGAGAGTAGTAACTCGCTAGCGCATCAAGTTGGGCTTCTGTTAAGAGGAACAAGTGGAGCATCGTGGACGGAAAATCAGGTGCTGGCTTCCCTGTCTCGACGTGTACTATAGGAGCGATGGTGAGGCGCATTTCAGAAATCTTGTGGACAAGAGCCGGATTGCGACCCGAAAGTCGCATCTTCCTCGCTGCCCGCCTTTGTAAAATGCTCAAATTTGTTCTATTTGCTTTATTGATCCCGTTTGTGAGACTCATACGTTGGCTAGGCATATGTCTGTTTGGTAGAGAATACCTTGGTTGGTTAAGAATGCTTGCTGACCGATGAGGTTTGCTGCGGGAAAGGGTGGATGGTATTTGGTATGAAACAGCCGGGAGTGTGCAGCGAGCAGGGTTGAGGGGCCGCCGTAGTATATAAAAGCGACACAAACGAGTAGGGCGGGTGTCAAAAGAGAACGGGTATTGTTGGAGCTTTGCTCTTTGTCAAGACACCGCCACCTAAGACCTACTGTCCTGACTCCCAGTATCTCGTGAAGAGTAGACCCTTTGTCTTTCATCTGTCACGTGTCCATTGTCTTCGAAAGGATGATGGAAGGTTGTTGTTGTACAATGTCGAGCATTCCATAGTATTAATGGCGGTAGTCTGTGAGGTTGGCGAGGCTTGATCATCCTTGTCGACAAAGTGGTGGCGTGTTGGCTGACTTTGTGGTGCGTTGGCCAATCTTTCATGATCTGAACACCGCTGTACAGATCTGTTTCAGGTACAATCAACGGTGAATCTGTAAGAACTTTTCGTATCCAGAACTTGTCGGCGGTGTTAGTTATGTAGATCAAAGTCTTGGGAAGCGTAAAGCATCGCAGTTAGCAAGCGATAATGAGACCGTGTCTCAAGCATCGAGAATGGCTTGGAGAGACACATCGTTCTCGGCGCCACCAATAGGCTCGGTACTTTTCCAGAACTTGCTCAAATGTCTTGCGCCACTGTGAATAAGTTAGTACATTCTCGACGTTTTGAGCCATTGTCTTACCTGTCGCACAGAATCGTGACGATGCGATGCCCAGGACCAAGTGTCTTTGCAAGTTTCGTGGCAGCGACGCCTTCACTGTGTCAGCACTGTCTGCTATTGAACGTATCACAACTTACAGTTCACAGCACTAGAGCTTCCAACAAATATGCCGTCATTTTCGACCAACCAGCGCGCCATGGAAACCGCTTGATCGTCATTCACTCTGATAGCGTCGTCGATCAGCTCCCGGCCAACATCAAAGTTATGTGTCACTCTGTTGATACCGATCCCTTCAACGATGGTATCCACCTGGTGTCGCCGCCGGGTTCCTTCTCTCTCCTTGGGATCGAACATAACGCCATACTTGACACGGTTGTACAAGCCACTACCAGGAGGATCTGCTAAGACGACCTTGAGGTTAGGTAGCTTGGACTTTAGAAACAAGGCAACCCCAGAGATAGTCCCTCCAGTACCGGCACCACTAACAAAAGCATCCACATGACGGGCGGTTTGCTCATAAATCTCCGGTCCAGTGCCAGTGAAGTGTGCGCGCCAGTTGGCTTCTGTTTCGAATTGATCAGCGAACAATCCTCTGCCAGGCTTGTCAGAACTAGCAGTATGCTCCTCTGCTCGCGCTCGTGCGAGGTTGACGAATTGCTTCTGATCCACAATAGGCGCTGGTCGCACTCTTTCTACCTCTGCACCAAGCTTTAGGAGAAGATCTGACTTTTCGATTGCCATGTCGTTTGGCATGCAGCTTCCGCTTGTCAGCGAGCATTCCAGGGTTATTATGCGTCGGATGACAACTCACATGTGTGCTTTGTAGCCGCGTGCTCTGCAGATTGCGGCTAGTGATATGCCAGTACTACCTACGGTGCCTTCGTAGATAGTGTCACCAGAATGTGGGATGAGAAGTCCCTTCTCTTCGGCCTGATGTAGAGGTCAGCAACAACAGCTAACGCTACAATCTCTTGCACTGTGTTTTCCTCGTACCATTTCGATGATGCTGAGAGCAACTCTGTCTTTCGGGCTGTTGCCAGCTCCATTGAGGAACTGTTACTCCATGTCAGCGCTTTTCTCGAACATATCTCGTATGCGCCTTTGTACCTCAGCTTTTGCGAAGATATCGCAACCGGTGAACTCAGAAAGTGATTTAATTTTGATGAGAGGTGTGTTGCCTATGCATCCTTCGATACCTTCTTTAACGTCATCTGCGACTTCATCTCCGCTAAACTCCAGTAAAGTTTTCTTCAATGTTTCTAGGTCGTTGATCTTTGCGAGCTGCGACAACCACTTGTGCTGGCGTGCCAAAAGTTGGTCTTTACTCTCGTCATCGAATTCCTCTATCGGCCTCTTCTTATTGTATGCAGTAGTGAGGGCGATTCCTAGCAGGAAAGCCCCTAAAAT